CAGCTAACCTCAGCCTCAGCCTCAGCCTGCCTCAGCCTCAGCCTGCCTCAGCCTCAGCCTCAGCCTGCTTCAGCCTCAGCAGCAGTCTGCCTTCAGCCTTGGCCTCAGCCTCAGCCTCAGCCTCAGCCTCAGCCAGCCTCAGCATCAGCCTCAGCCTCAGCCTCAGCCTGCCTCAGCATCAGCCTGCCTCAGCCTCAGCCTCAGCCTGCCTCAGCCTCAGCCTCAGCCTCAGCCTGCTTCAGCCTCAGCCTCAGTCTGCCTTCAGCCTCGGCCTCAGCCTCAGCCTGCCTCAGCCTCAGCCTGCATCAGCCTCAGCCTCAGCCTCAGCCTGCCTCAGCCTCAGCCTGCCTCAGCCTCAGCCTCAGCCTGCCTCAGCCTCAGCCTGCTTCAGCCTCAGCCTCAGTCTGCCTTCAGCCTCGGCCTCAGCCTTAGCCTGCCTCAGCCTCAGCCTCAGCCTCAGCCTCAGCCTCAGCCTCAGCCAGCCTGTTTCAGCCTCAGCTGCCTGCAGCTCAGCCTCAGCCTGCCTCAGCCTCAGCCATCAGCCTCAGCCTCCTCAGCCTGCCTCAGCATCAGCCTGCCTCAGCCTCAGCCTCAGCCTGCCTCAGCCTCAGCCTGCGCCTCAGCCTCAGCCTGCCTCAGCCTCAGCCTGCCTCAGCCTCAGCCTCAGCCTCAGCCTGCCTCAGCATCAGCCTGCCTCAGCCTCAGCCTCAGCCTCAGCCTCAGCCTCAGCCTCAGCCTCAGCCTCTCAGCCTCAGCCTCAGCCTGCCTCAGCCTCAGCCTCAGCCTGCCTCAGCCTCAGCCTCAGCCTTCAGCCTCAGCCTCAGGCCTCAGCCTCGGCCTCAGCCTCAGCCTCCTCAGCCTCAGCCTGCATCAGCCTCAGCCTCAGCCTCAGCCTGCCTCAGCATCAGCCTGCCTCAGCCTCAGCCTCAGCCTCAGCCTCAGCCTCAGCCTCAGCCTGCAGCATCAGCCTCAGCCTTCAGCCTCAGCCTGCCTCAGCCTCAGCCTCAGCCTCAGCCTCAGCCTCAGCCTCAGCCTGCCTTCAGCCTCAGCCTCAGTCTGCCTTCAGCCTCGGCCTCAGCCTCAGCCTGCCTCAGCCTCAGCCTGCATCAGCCTCAGCCTCAGCCTCAGCCTCAGCCTGCCTCAGCAGCCTCAGCCTGCCTCAGCCTCAGCCTCAGCCTCAGCCTCAGCCTGCCTCAGCCTCAGCCTCAGTCTGCCTTCAGCCTCGGCCTCAGCCTCAGCCTGCCTCAGCCTCAGCCTGCATCAGCCTCAGCCTCAGCCTCAGCCTGCCTCAGCATCAGCCTGCCTCCTCAGCCTCAGCCTGCCTCAGCCTCAGCCTGCAGCCTCAGCCTCAGCCTCAGCCTGCCTCAGCCAGCCTGCCTCAGCCTCAGCCTCAGCCTGCCTCAGCCTCAGCCTCAGGCTTCAGCCTCAGCCTCAGTCTGCCTTCAGCCTCGGCCTCAGCCTCAGCCTGCCTCAGCCTCAGCCTGCCTCAGCCTCAGCATCAGCCTGCCTCAATATTCAGAATGTGGCCCGGGAATGGAGTTCTGGGAACTCGAAGAACACGAAGTGGCCTACAGTTTGCTCCGTGCATTCAAAATCATGCCCAGGAATGGAGTTCTGGGAACTCGAAGAACACGAAGTGGCCTACAGTTGGCTCCGGGCATTCGAAACCGGGAATGGAGTTCTGGGAACTCGACGAGCACGAAGTGGCCTACAGTTGGCTCCGGGCATTCAAAATGTGTCCCGGGAATGGAGTTTTGGGAACTCGAAGAGCACGAAGTGGCCTACAGTTGGCTCCGGGCATTCAGAATGTGGCCCGGGCATGGAGTTCAGGGACCTCGAAGACCACGAAGTGTGTATCTGTTTGCTTAAAACGACTTCCGCGGGTTCTCCCCGGCACCCGCCCAGACCCCCTTGGGGAGTCAAGATGCTCTCTTTTGACACTGCTAGAAACCTATCAGTCTTCGCTGTTAGGTAAAAATGCTCCCATCAGAGACCCCAAAGAGGCCCCAAGATGCCTCAAAACGGCCCCCCGGAGGCTTCGAAACATTTCAAAATTGCCTCCCCCAAGAGGCACTCCAGAGGCCCCACGAAGCCCACTGAAGGCCCCAAAGAAGCCCCTACAGTCCGCAAGCAGCCACGGACGAGCCCCACGAGGCATCATAATTGCCTCGAACATGTGTTTTTTTTTCGGAAGCTTCGCAAGAGACCCCAACAAGCATCCAATATGCTTCTGACGGTGGCGGCTTCACCCGTTGCCCTCCTGTTGATTTGGCCACAGGACTCACGACGGCCCCAAGAGAAGGGCAAGATGGCCGAGATCAGTTCGAACCACAATAGTCAGGAGGAGGAGGAGGAGGGGGAGGAGGAGGAGGAGGAGGAGGAGGAGGAGGAGGTGGAGGAGGAGGAGGAGGAGGAGGAGGAGGAGGAGGAGGAGTGAAGAGGTCGAACCCTGTTGGGGTGGCTCCTGCCCTCCAGAGCCGTCCAGAGAAGGCCAGGTGCCCGGAGGAAGGCCCCAAGGGGGCCCACAAACAAGACACGCTTGGAGGTTCTCGCGTGACTTGATGTCGCGCCCTGCTGTAGTCGTTCAAGGCCTTCTTGGCACCCTCCCAGGGCCTTTCCTGGAACCGCCCTCCTTCTCCTCTCCCCTTCCCTCCGAAAAGTCTCCCAGTGGGTCATGCCAACCGGCGCATTCGTTCGTGGCACAAGCGGACGCTGGGGCCTCGGTTCCATTCTTTATCTTCCCTCCTCTCTCTTGCCCCCCTCCCCTCAGTCCCTCCTTGCCCGCTCCCCCATACATATGGCCTCGCTCGATCGAGTAATCATCTTGCACAGCGTGAGCTCCGCAGTTAGATGGGCCGCAAACACCCAGCGAGACCCTGGACTAACCCCCAGCGGCGCCCAAGAGACCCTTCTCTGCTGGGGCTAGGCTCATGTTGATTTTTCAAACCATGCTGAAGCCATTCGTCGGTGCGTGCATTCGCGCAGCCGTGACTCTGTCAATGCGCGCAGCCGTGGTATTGTCAAGCGCCTGCGCTTGCTAGAACATAAGCGCGCGAAGCGCGCGCGTGGTTCTAGTATCATATGCCGGGGTACCGGGGGCCAGGGCCCCGGGCCGGGACACCCTCCCGAATTCCCCCCCCCCCCCCCCGTAGCCCACTTTGCCCCCGGGAGTCCGGAGGCTCTTCTGCGCCCCCGGAGGCGCCCACCACGGCTTCCGGGGACGGCAAGAAGCCGCCAAGACGGCCCAAGAGTGCTCCAAGACTTTCAAGATAACCATCAAGGCCCAAGGGGCCCCCAAGAAACCCCAGGGGCGCTCCGAGAGGCTCTCCAAGAGAGCCCCAAGAGGGTAACATCGTAGATTTCCATTGTGCTTTTCCAATGTTTTTTGTTTGCCCGCGTTTTTGGGCTTCTGACCTTCCAAGATTGCCGAGGAAGCCTCGAACGTCGCCCCAAGACGGCCCAAAAGGCCCCCGAGAGGCCCCCAAAACAGTCCAAGAGGGCGCCCGAACAGTCCAAGAGGCGCCCAAGACGGCCCAAGATGGCTTCAAGACGGCCCCAAGAGGTGCCAAAGAGGGGGAACGCGAACCGACAATGGAGATTTCCGCCCCAATAGGCAAGAGGCCCCCAAGAGGCCCCAAGAGGCTTAAGAACGCCCCCATCAGAGACCCCAAAGAGGCCCCAAGATGCCCCAAAACGGCCCCCCGGAGGCTTCGAAACATTTCAAAATTGCCTCCCCCCAAGAAGCACTCCAGAGGCCCCGCGAAGCCCACTGAAGGCCCCAAAGAAACCCTTACAGTCCGCAAGCAGCCACGGACGAGCCCCACGAGGCATCAGAATTGCCTCGAACATGTGTTTTTTTGAAGCTTCGCAAGAGACCCCAACAAGCATCCAATATGCTTCTGACCCACAACGCAGGCACGGTGGCGGCTTCACCCGTTGCCCTCCTGTTGATTTGGCCACAGGACTCACGACGGCCCCAAGAGAAGGGCAAGATGGCCGAGATCAGTTCAAACGACAAGCGGACGCTGGGGCCTCGGTTCCATTATTTATCTTCCCTCTTCTCTCTCTCTCGCCCCCCTTCCCTCAGCCCCTCCTTGCCCGCTCCCCCATGCGTATGGCCTCGCTTGATCGAGTAATCATCTTGTACAGCGTGAGCTCCGCAGTGAGATGGGCCGCAAACGCCCAGCGAGACCCTGGATTACCCCCCAACGGCGCCCAAGAGACCCTTCTCTGCTGGGGCCAGGCTCATGCTGATTTTTTTCAAACCATGCTGAAGCCATTCGTCGGTACGTGCATTCGTGCAGCCGTGACTTTGTCAATGCGCGCAGCCGTGGTGTTGTTAAGCGCCTGCGTTTGCTAGAACCTAAGCGCGCGAAACGCGCGCGTGGTTCTAGCGTGTATATGGATACACACACATCTATATATATATGTATGTATGCATACATGTACATACATATCACGCATGTGTCTGTTCATGCGAGGGGGGTGGGTGCGCTTATCGCCGTCGGCTACACGTAGCCTCCTCTTGAGGCTCAGAGTTTGGCGGGGATTCGGGCGGCCCCCGCGCCGTCGGCAGAGCCCCGCCAGCCCCCGCGCCCAGGGCGCATTCGGGCGCCCTCGAGGGCAACGCGCGCGAGGTCGGGCGCGCCAGGTGGTACCCGACCTGGATCGCGCCGCGGGAGGGGAGGCCGCCGAGGGCGCCTCCCTGCCCTCCCCGCGGCGGCGGCGCGCGCAGCTGGGGCGGGGCGGCGGAGGCGGCGCTCGCGGCGAACCGCGGGGCCCCGCCCTTGCCGCAACGGCGCGCGGGGCCCATGGCGGAGGTCGTCGACGGCGGGGGCGACGACGACGACGAGGAGTTGACAGGCGTCCCCGCCCCGGCCCCGCGGGCCCGCCCTGCAGCGGCTGCTGCCGCCGACGAGCTGCCAGTCGGGGATGTGTAGCTGGTCGCTCTTGTGGGCGGCGAGCTGCGCGCGTCGGTCGGCCGCGGCAACATCCTAGAGGTCCAGTGCCACTTCGCGTGGCTATGCCAGCAGCACTCGCGCTGCGGCAGGGCTCGCACGGGCGAGGCTGCTCTGGAGCGGCGACAGCTGGGATTGGTGGTTGCAGTGCGCGGGCGAGCGGGGGGCGATCTCGCCCAGGCCTCTCGTGCGCATCTGCGAGGGTCCCGTGCCGCTGTGCGTCGCCGAGCCGCCGCCGAACTGTGCGGAGCTGGCCCGCACCTCAGAGGTGGCGAGGCTCGCGGTCGAGGCGGGGGCGGAGCTCTGGCTGCAGCGTCGGGTCACCAACCCAGGGGCAGCGTGGCCGCTAGACCTCCTGGGGCCGCCGCCTGGGGCTGCTCGGCCCGCCGAGGCCCCCGCCGCGGGTGCCCGCCCGTTCGAGGACCTCTTCGGCGACGAGCTGGACGAGGGGCCCTCCGCCCCCAGCGGGGTGGCTGCCCTGCGCTCGCGGCTCATGGAGTCGAAGGACCGCTTCGCAGCGCTGCGGGGCCGCGACAAAGGCGCTGCACCCCCCGCCGAGGGCGCGGCGCAGGCGGCGCCCGCGGTCGAGGTCAAGCCCAAGGTCAAGCGGGCGCAGGCGGGGGTGCTCTCGGAGCGCGCCACGAAGGTTTCTCGTGGGTGGCCGAAGCTGCCGGCAGCGCCCTCCCCCCCCGATGGGGGCGCGCGCGGCTCGGGCGAGCGGGGGCCGACCGAGGGCGCGACGGCCGCGGCGGGTGCCTCCCGCGCAGCGCAGGGCCTTGCGAGCGCCCTCGCACGGCTGCTGGACGGGCGCCAGAGCGGCACCGAGGAGCTGGGCCTGGAGGGCGCCACAAGCGCGGGCGGATCTCTGAGCCCGCGCGGTATGATGCTCACTGCCGCGGGGTTGCCACCGAGCAGCCCGGGCGCCTCGCCGAGGCGAGCTTGGCGCAGATGGCGGGTCTCCTCGGCTCGCTGGGGGCGATCGCGCTGCGGTGGCTCCTCACGGTGCACCTCCCGCAGCACCCCGTGCAGGAGATCGACGTGCCCGCGTGCCGCGAGCTGCGGACGCTCGCGGAGGCGCTCGACCTCCTGGTGCATGGGGCGCTCGGCGGCGGTTGCGGACCTCCGCGCCCGGCGGTTCAAGGCGCTCCAGATCGCGCTCCACGACGGGAAGGAACTGGTCAGGGGCGAAGTGGCCGGAGTTCACCCCGCCGCGCGACGGGCCAACCGCGCTGCGGAGCGAGGAGGGGGGGCTGATCAGGAGCATCCAGGCGGGCGAGCTCAAGTTGGACGAGCTGACCGCCTAGCTGCGCAAGCCGGGCTAGGGGTCTGGTCGGGGCGAGGGGGGCTCGCAGCCCCCGCCTCGTCCGGCAGGCCCTGCGGGGGAGTGCCCCCCGCGAAGGCTGCCCCGCCGCGGAAGCCGCCAGCGGTGCTGGGGGGCGAGCTGGCAGAGGCGAAGGGCTCGAGGGCTCCTCGCGCCGCGCAGGCGGGCAGGGGGGGCTGCGCGGGCGCGTGGGCCGACGGCCGCGCTGCGACCTTGAAGAAGAAGGACGAGTCGAGCAAGGGGTGCCAGGCTCGCCCTGCGAGCGTCGTTGCCGAGTTGATGAAGAAGGCCCCCCCCTGCCCAGGCGGCGGCCCGTGCCCCCTGGACGGCGAAGCGGTGAGCGTCGCCCCGCCCGAGGCGCCGTTGTCGGGCGTGGCCCAGATCCCCTCTGCTTGCGGCGAAAGCGGCGAAGGTGTAGCAGCGCCGAGCGCCGCCAGCGGGGGGCGGCATCATGGCGCGGGGGCGGGCGACTCGCTGCCGCCGCTGGAGCTGGGCGCTGCCCTGGCCGAGACGGTCGTGGCTGGGGGCAGCGCTGTGGGGGCTGAGGCGGCGCTGCCTCGGCCGCTGCCGCTGTGCGAGGTGCCGGAGAGTGTGGCGGCATGGCGCAGGAGGTCGCCCGCTGAGTTTGGTCGGCCCATGCGACGAGTCGACCTGGCAGTCACGCTCGCGAGGTTCGCGCAGCTGCACCCTGGCACCCTGGGCCGCCTCGCAGGGCAGGCGCTCACATTCGAGGGGGTGGCGCGAATGCCCGAGTTCGGGATTTGCTGCCGCTGCCTCTCCCGCCCCTCGAGGAGGTTGCGGGGTGGGCCCAGGCTGCCAAGGGCCCGCGGTGTCGCCTCGCCCCCGTGGCCAAGGCGGTCGCGGCTGAGGCGTGGGCCTACATGAGCGTGCTGGGCCTCAACCACATGCGCTGCGGGGTCGTTCGGGAGTCGTTCCGACTCGGGGCGGCGCTGACGCTGGCGGAGGAGCCGGCCATGCAGAACATCCGCTCGCGGGCGGCGGAGTTTGCCTGCCCAGCAGCCCTTGGAGACCGTGGCCGTCGCCTCACGCGTTCGCGACCTCGTCAGTGGACTACAGCAGGGGGCCCATGATGCGCGCGTTCTCCTGCGCTCTCGCGGGGCTGGCCCCAGGCCTGCCGAAGAGGGGGCACGCGGCGACCCTGAGCGCGATCGACTTCGTTGACGACGAGGTGGCGCGCTGGCTGGCCGACCCCATGCTGGCGCTCAAGGCGGAGGCGGACTTCCCTGACCCTCTCCCGAAGGTGCGGGTCAACGTCGGCTCGCAGTTCGAGTGGGAGGCCCTGGCGATGCACCTCGTGGAGCTCGGGATCTTCACCGTGCTTCCCGCCGAGGAGCTGGTCCACGTCCGCGGTGGGCCTCTCCTGAATGGGCTCTTCGCAGTGGAGAAGAAGGGCGCGCCTGGGCCTGGGGCCAGCCGCGCCGCGAGGCCCATCCTGAACAGTGTGCCTGACAACGCGCTCATCGAGCCCCTCGTGGGGGAGGCGGCCATGCCTGCTGGATCCACGAGCTGGGTTTCGCTGCGCATCCCCGAGGGGAAGCTGCTCCTGTGGTCGGGCGACGACCAGAAGGGGGCCTTCTTCGCGTGGCGGGCGTCCCGTGCACGGCGCCGCTTCGCGGCGGCGGGGCGGCCCTTGGCGGGCTCGCTCTTCGGGCGGCAGGGGCCCGAGGTGTACCTCGCGTCGGCGGTGATCTCGATGGGCTGGTCTCTGGCGGCCCGCTGCGCCGCCTGCCGCCGCCGCTGGGCGCGGGGCTGCCTCCGCAGGCGGAGTGGCGCAAGGGCGCGCCACGGCCCGTCGCCGCCGCTGCGGAAGGAGACTCAGCGCGGCGGCAGGTCGACAACGATGGCTTCGACGCGCCCGAGATCGTGGAGGATGTGCGCGCCAGGCGCCTGATAATTAGGCTCGCTGGCGGAGGTGCAGGTCAGGGCGCGATCCAGCTACGACAGGGCTGGCGTCGCCTACTCGGCGGAGAAGGCTCGCTGCAGGCAGCTTCGGGTCGAGCGCATGGGGGCCGACGTCGACGGCGAGTCGGGCCGACTGGCCGCCCCCTTGGCCAAGTCGCTCGAGGCGATCGCGCTGTGCCTAGCCTCCTTCAGGCTCGAGGCCGTGCCCTGGCGGCTCGCCGAGACGATCCTCGGGCGCCTCGCTGGGCTCTGCGAGTTTCGGAGGCCCCTCTTCAGCGTGCTCAGCGAGGTCAGGGGGCTGAGCTCGCAGCGTGGCAACGTGAGGTTCTCGGCGGCGATGCTCGAGGAGCTGCTGGCCGCCACGCTCGTGATGCCGATGGCCGCGACCTCGCTGCGGGCCAAGATCGATCGCATGGCCGCGGTCTCGGGCGTGTCCGAGTTCGGCGGGGGCGCGCGCGCGTCGGTGGGCCTCCGAGCCGACGCGGAGGCCAGCCTCAGCAGCGCCTCGACGCTGGGCGAGCAGATGCACCTGGGGGCTCGCCTGCTGAAGCTGCCCGCAGACCCCCCGGAGCCCTGGGCAGTCACCAACCCCCTCATCCCGCGGGCCGTGGTTCCGAGGGCGCTCAAGGTGTTCCTCGTTTGCCTGTTCGACGGGATTGGGGGCTTGGCGGCGGCTTTCTCGCGCTTGCCCGCGCGGGCCATGGGCTACGCCACGGCGGAGACGGACGCCGAGGCGCGCAGGGTGGCGCGCCTGCGCTGGCCAGGCGCGACCGACTGGGGCAACGTGACGCGAGTGGCGGCTGCTGTCGTGAACGAGCTGCGGGACGCCTACTGCGACGAGGTCGATCTCTGTGCGGCGGCCGCGGGCAGCCCCTGCCAGGACCTGGCCGGGCTGAACGCGTCGGGCGCGGGCTTGCCCGGCGCGAAGTCCAGCCTGTTCTACGCGGTGCCCCGCTTGCTGGAGCTCCCCAGGGCGGCGTTCGGTCACGAGCTGAAGTGGCCCATCGAGAACCTCGCGAGCATGGCGGCGGACAACCGGGCTGAGATCAGCAGGGCCCTCTGCGTCGAGCCCCATCCTCGTATGTTAATATGTCCTCGTGCCCTGCCGACGTACTGGGCTGGGCTGGATGAGCTGGGAGCCGCACGTCATTGCCCCGCCCTCCGCGGTCGGGGGGGGCGGGTGCCGCGAGGTCCGCGGGCCGAGGGGCCCCCTCTGCGAGCTGGCCTGGCTGGGCGAGGGGCCCGCTGGCTAGGTGCTCCAGGCCTGTTCCCGACGCTGGCGTGCCGCCGGCCGCTGCCGAAGTCTCCCTCGGCCCCGAGGGGGCCGCGGCAGGCTTCGGCGGCGGCGCGCGCTCGCTGGGGGGCGGGCCCGTTCCGATATCACGTTGCCCTGTGCGAGGAGAAAAACTTGCTGCTGGACGCTGCTGCGGGCTCCGCCCCTCGCCCCCCCTCCAGCTCGGAAAGGGGGGGGTGCTCGGCTTCGATGTGAACTGCGCGTCCGCAGCCGCGAAGGGCTCGAACGAGCGCGACTGCAGCGACGCGCGGGCCTTCCTCCTGGGCAACAGCTTCAGCGTCTACGTCGCCGCGTGGCTGGCGCAGGCGGTGCTGCTGGAGGCGAAGGCGCTGAGCAGGCCGCTGGAGGGTCGTGGGGCGCCATCGGGCGGCGCGAGAGCGAGGCGGGGGGCTCGGGCGCCATGGCCTCGCGACGGCTGGCGCTGCACTACCTGGCCCGAGCGGAGAAGGGCGGGGCCGACGTGCGCCTGGGCTGTGGCCCGCCTTGCAGGCCACGCGGCGGCCGCGGTCAAGCGTCGATCCGTTCGCGCGGCGGCGGCGCGCGTCGCTGAGCATGGCGTGGCCTGCGGCCAAGAGCGCCCGCATAAACGCCCGAGAGCTGCAGGCGGCGGCGGCGGCGGCGCTGCGGTGGCGCGCCCGCAAGGCGAGTCGGCGCTGCAGCAGGTGGCCCCATCTCGTCGACAGCCAGGCGGTTGCGGCGATCGTGACGAAGGGCAGGAGCAACAGCCGCCGCCTCCAGCCCGCGTTGGCCAGGTGGGCCGCGGTCGCGGTGGCCGCCGACATGTGCCGAGTCGTCGGCTACGTCGTGTCGGAGGACAACCCCGCCGACGAACCGTCGAGGAGGTTGCGGCGTGGCTTGCGGCTCAGGACCGCCGCGCCCAGGCCGCCCAAGCTGCCGCCCCCGCGCCGCGGGGGCCCCCCGCCGCGCGCGCTCGGCTGAGGCCAGGCGCCCTGCGGGCCCAGTCGCTGTTTCTGCTCCGCGTGGGCATTGCGACGAGGCGCCGGCATTCCGCTGCGGTCGGCAGCCTGCTGGGGCACTGCGGCGTCGCAGGAGACGGCGTCGAGGCGTTGGGCCACGAGGGCGAGAGCGCCGACTCGCTCGTCTCGGGTTACCTGGAGGGCCTCTGGGCCTCGGGCGCGGGCATCGCGGCGGCGAGCAACGCGGCGGCGGGCGCGTGCTTCTTCAGCCCGCGTCTCAGACGCCGCTTGGATCTGAGCTGGGCGCGGCTGAGGACCTGGCGGAAGAGAGAGCCCGCGGCGCGCGTACTCCCGTTCGCGCCTGAGATCGTCGGGGCCATGGCTGGCCTAGCGCTGGGGGCACGCTCCGACGACGTTTCGTGCCTCCTCACGGTTGCTTTGGGGGGCCTATTGCGCGGCGGCGAGGCCTTCGCGCCGCGCAGGGGCGACGCGGCTTTCCGAGGCCAGTGCGCCGTCCCCGCGTCGCCCCGTCCAAGAGCTCAGCGGGGCGCGACGCAGTGGAGGCGGTCGTCATCGGGGCGCCGATCGCCCTCCAGCTGCTGCGGCTCGTTACGCGCAGTCTGGACGATGGTGACAGGCTCAGCGCACGGTCGCCACGCTAGCTGCGGGCGGCCCTCGCAGCGCTTGTGGAGGGCCTCGGTTCCAGTGCCCGTTCAGCTGGCATAGCTGCCCCAGCGGCGGCGCGTCGGAGTGTTTCCTGCGGGCCAAGAGTATGGGGCTCACTCTGGTCCGTGGGCGTTGGGCCAGCAGCCTCGCAGCCCGCATATACGTGGAGGATGCGCTGGCTGACTTCGCGCGGGTCCAGCGCGGTGATGCGCGGGTGACGCTCGTCCGACAGGGGTTTCGATCGCTGCGCATCTTCTCCGAGCTGCCATAGTGCAGTGTCTGTTCTTATCTGTGCGTGTAAACGTTCACGTTTTTCATCGCCTCCTTCTCGCCCGCCCTGTCTCTCGAGGTCCTCGACCTGGAGGCCCCATGGCAAGCCAGCGTTGGCCCGTGGGGTGCCGCGGCGTCCCTGTGCGGGTCCTGGGCCGTCGCGGGACGATGCGGCGGCCCCCCGCTCTCGGCTTGGCGCAGCTCCTTCGGGGTCGGCACAGGGGCGCCGCGGTCGCAGGTGTTGGCGGTGTCCTGGACGGGGTGCAGGTTGTGGGCAAAGAGGGGGCATCCCTTTCTTTCCCAGGTCTGGCTTCAGAGGTCCTCTTCCTATCTCGCCCATGGGCTAGCCAACGGTGGCTTCGTTCCTGGTGGCCCTGGCACGTCCTCGGTCGTTTCGGCGCCCCCCCGCTCTCGGCGAGGCGCAGCTGTTGCGTGAGCCGCAGGTGTTGGTGGTGGTGTCCTGAAAGGGACGTCGTGGCCGCAGGTGTTGGTGGTGGTGTCCTGAAAGGGTTGCAGGTTGCAGGCTAGAGGTCAGCGCCTACTTCTCGCCCGCCCCACCTTTCGGAGCCCTCTCGCAGGCGAGAGGCGGCGGCCCTCTCCCGACCCACCCTCGACAGCCCTCGCCCCGATCGCTCCGAGAGAGGGCGCGGGCTGCAGGGCGAGGCGGCACAGTCAGAGGCAGAAGGGGGCTTTCTTAATTCAGTAGATCTGGCCTCGCGGCCAGTAGGGCGGGCGTGGAACTACGGGGGGGGGTGCTTGCGAGCTGCCCGTTGGGCCAACGCGCGGGGAAATTACGCTGCGCTCGGCGCCCCCCCCCCCCCCCCCAAAGCGTTTCGGAGGGCGGCTTGCGGTCAGGGGCCGCCCTTCGGGGCCCGCCGACGCGGTCGGTGGAGGGCCCCCCGATTCGGGCCGAATGCTCTCGGACGAGGCGCTGCGTTCCCTGGGGCCGCGGCGCTTGTTCTCGGAAGCGATGGTGGGGGGTTAGAGGGGTGTCGGAGCGTAGTGACCATTGGAGAGGGAGCGCCTGCCCTAAAAAACGTTGGCCGTATACACGCATGTGCATGTTCATACGAGGAGGGTGGGTGCGCTTATCGCCGTCTGCTACACGTAGCTTCTTGAGGCGCCCTCCCACTGACCACCCCGTGTAGCTTGCTCTTGTGTTATCCTGATCTGGTGCCTGAGCACAGGGGGTGCACTCGGCGTCACCTCCAGCGTTTCGGGAGAGGGCGGCTTGCGGTCGGGGCCGCCCTTGGGGGCCCGCCGGCGCGGTCGGTGGGGGGCCCCCCGATTCGGGCCGAATGCTCTCGGACGAGGCGCTGCGTTCCCTGGGGCCTCGGCGCTTGTCCTCGGAAGCGATGCTGGGGGTTTAGAGGGGCGCCGGGGCGTAATGACTCAGCTCTGACCAATGGCAGACAGTTTGGAGGCTAATTTTTGTGTTTCGTTTTTCTGTCTGATATTTGTAGATCTGCGGTTGGAGAGGGCCCGCTTTGCCCCCCCAGATTTGGCGCGATCTCCGCGTTGCGTTCAACTTGTAACGCGCTTTTTGATTCAAAGCCATCGGGCCGAAGTCGGGCCACCGCCGCATTGCGTCGCCCAGCCCGTGGATATGCGCGATGTTCATGTGTTGCTCCATCGCCACAACTGGAGAGTTCTGTCCTCCCCGAGGGGGGCGTAGGGTGGGCCGAAGGCGATGGCGGGCGGGGGGGGGGGAGCTGTTTGTCCCCTCCCTCCCCTCCCGGGGAGCCCCGCCGTTCCCACGCTCGATTCCCCCCTGTCCTTGTCGCTGCGCGCGCGGGGGGCGCCGCCCCATCTTGCCCGCGATCCCGCGAGCCGCCCGCCTGGAAGGGGCCCTCGCGCGGGCCAAGTCCGCGGCTACATATATTGTTGCTGGGCAACTTCCCTTCGTGGCGCCCCCGACGCCCCGCTCCTCGGGAGACGCGGCGACCGACGGACGTGGCAGCCCTTCTCCAATATTGGGGTGCCTAGTTCCGTGTTGCCTCCCAGAACCTACGATGCAAAATAACAGTGTGGCTGCCTGGATTTTGCGCGAGCGTGCTCGGAGGTTCCGACGGACTGATCCTTGATCATCCTCGTTCGTTTGATCTCTTGGGTGGCGGCCGTGACGCCTCGCGTCGGTCCTCCTTCCGTCGTCCTTCTTCTCATCATGTTTTTCTGAATCTTTCTGGCTTTCGATCAATCGCTGGGAGACCGAATCGCGTGGGTGGCGAACTCTTTCGTCTCGGCGGGCGCCCTGTCAGCGTCGCCCAGGGAGAACCGTCGGCCCGTTGCACGGGTGCCCCAAACCGTGGCGATTCTGGCTCCCCTACTCATCGTTGGGCGCTCGTTTCGACGCGCCCCCGCCTTTTCGGCGCGACCGCCGGCGTCCAGGGTCAAACGGGGGAGCTCCCAGGGGCCCCCCCCACCAGTCGGCGGGGTTGTCTTCTCTGGAACATCGCCCTTCGCTGCCCCAGCGTCGGCGCGGGGAGGTGTTTTAAGAATTCCCCGAAGGAGCCTTCGGGAAACCCAGGGGCCCCGAAGGACAGTGTCAGGGGACCCTAGGGAAACCCAAGAGCCCAGGTGTCTCTACGACGTGGTCCCCTTTCCTGCCTCTTCCCTTCTCCTGCGCCTTTTCTCCCGGTGCCTGCCTCCTTCCGCCCTCCCTGCCCCTCCTGCGCCCTTCCGCCTGCTCCTGCCCTGCCCCGCCCCCCCGTCAACCAATTTCCCCCCTCCGCGGTCCCTCGTCTCTCCTTCCTCCACCCTCGTTTTCCCTGCTCCCGTCTTCCTGCCCCCCTCCTTCTTCCTCTTATCTTCCACCTCCCTTGTTCCTCCTCCCTTCCCTCTCTTCGCTCCCCCGCGTTCCCTTGCCCCCCCTTCTCCCTCTTCCCCCGCCCTGCCCCCCCCTCTTCCCTCCCCCGTCCTTTTCCGCGCCATGCGTTCGCCTTCCCTCGCCCCCCACATCCGCTCCCCGCCCTCCGCCCTCCCTCACCTTCCGCCCTCACCCATTCTCCTTCGCCCCGCCCTCCCTCATCTCACTTGCCCTGCCACCCTTCCCTCACCTTCCGTCCACCCCGCCCCCCACCCTTCCTCACCTTCCGTCCGCTTTTCCACCCTCGTTCATATTCCCTCATTCCCCCTCCCTCACCTTCCACCCTTACCCTCGACTCCCCCTCGCGCTCCCTCGCCCTCCACCTCCTCCCTCGGTTTCCACCGGCCCTCACCCTCCACCCTCCCGCCCCTCCCCTGCGGGGGACCCCGCAAGCGCCCCGGGGGGCGGCCGCCAATTTCTCCGCCAATTTTCTTATGACGGGATTCCTGCTAAAAAAAATGGAGGAGAAATTGGCGATGGATTCCGAAATGGTTTTTGGCAGAAATTTCGGCGGAATTTTTGGCGGGAGGTTTTTTCGAGTGTCCCAGGCGCATTTTTTGGATGACCCCGGGGGGGGGCCCGCAGGCGTTTTTGGATGGCCCGGGGGGTGGCCCGACGGGTGGTTTCTGGATGGCCCCGGGGGGTCCCGACGGTGCTCCAGATTCCAGGTTGCTTTCCTCGCATGGCGCAAGCTATGCGGTGCAAACTACATGTTGCAAGCTATGTGGTGTAAGCTATGCGAGGGAAGCCACGTGGTGCAAGCTATGTGGTGTTATCAACGTGGCGCAAGCTGCGCGGTGCAATATATGCGTCCGAAACGATGTGGTGCAGGCTACGTGGCGTGTGTTCTGTGGCGCAAGCTATGTGGTGCAAACTATGGGTTGCACGCGATGTGGCGCAAGCCATGTGGATGCAAGTTGTGCGGCGTAACCCATGTGGTGCAATCTATGTGGTGCGAGTTCTGTTGTGCAAGCTATGTGGCGCACGCTATGCGCTGAAACCGCGGTTGGCGTTGTCGAGTAAACGCCCTGTCGGGATTGGAGCGGGCGTTGTCAAGTAGGCGCCCTGTCGGGACCGGAACGGGCGTTGTCAAGTAGGCGCCCTGTCGGGACCAGAGCGGGCGTTGTCAAGTAGGCGCCCTGTCGGGAGCGGAGCGGGCGTTGTCAAGGAAACGCCCTGTCGGGAGCGGAGCGGGCGTTGTCAAGGAAACGCCCTGTCGGGAGCGGAGCGGGCGTTGTCAAGGAAACGCCCTGTCGGGAGCGGAGCGGGCGTTGTCAAGGAAACGCCCTGTCGGGAGCGGAGCGGGCGTTGTCAAGTATTTGCCCTGTCGGGAGCGGAGCGGGCGGTGTCAACTATTTGCCCTGTCGGGACTGGAGCGGGCGTTGTCAAGTAGGCGCATTGTCGGGACCAGAGCGGGCGTTGTCAAGTAGGCGCCCTGTCGGGACTGCGACCCCCCACTTGCATGTTTCCTCCCTCCTTTCGTTCCTCCCACCTCCCTCCATTCACCTCCCTGGTCTTCCGCTTCCCCTAGCTCCCTCCCTCATTCTCCCCCGTTCCCTCCTTCGCCCCCCATTTTTTTGCCTTCGCTGTCCTCGTTCCCTCTTTTCCGTGTGTTGTCGCCCCTCCTTGCCCGCTTCCTTTTCGCCCTTTTCCCCCTCCCCCCTTCTTGCTCTCTACACCCTCGAGTCCTTGCTCAGTTCTTGCCACTCCCCCCCCCTCTATCGCCCGCCCCCCCTGTCGCCGAGCGACCCTCAGCACGCCTATTTGCAACATTGGTTCCAAGCCCTGCTCGCGCCTTCGCCAAGCCTTTGGGCAACGAGCCCAGCGCTGGTGCGGGTACTGCGCTGTGTGTTTGCGGGGTGCGCCCCGTCAGTGGTAGCGGGGCCAAATGCGACGCTGCGTCGCAAGCGTTTTTTCGACGACGCCCAAGATCGTCTGAATTTCGCCGTTGCGCCAATATTGCTCGCGCTCCACCCCCCCCCCAGGTTGTGGAGCGATTCGTTCAGCCGCGCTCTTTTGCACGCGCGCGCGCCTCGCCAGTGTCGCGGCCTTGCGTCGGCCGCCCAGAGTTCGCGGGTTTTCCGCGCTGCCGCGCGCGTGCTAAAGTATTGGATGGAATGGTGTAGCACGCGTTGAGTTGTTTGTTCGCGACGCCACCGCCAGTGCAAATGTCCGTTGCCAGCTTCTTTTTGCTTGTTTTTTTTTCGTTTGGGGCAAACGGCGGCGCCGCGGGTTTGTGACGAGTTTCAATTGCGCGCATCTGTGCAACATTGGCCTTCGCGCAAACGGCGCCGCGTTGTTTGCCAAAGGGTCGGGCGACCCTTCGAGAGACGAAACAATTAGATGAACGTGTTCTGCATGCCGGTCAGTGGTGATAATGACCATTGGCGAGGGAACGATTGCCCCAAACAAACGTATGTATGTATGTATGTATGTATGTACGCACGCACATATATATATATATATATATATATATGTGCGTACATATATACATACATACCTACATACATACATACATACATACATCTTCACAAACGTGTATGTGTACGTATGCCTATGTACATTTACGCACATGTACATGTACATGCATGCACATATATATATATATGTATGTATGTATGTATATATATATATATATATATATATATATGTATGTATATATATGTATGTATATATACATGCATGCATACATACATACATGCATACAAGCGTACATACATACATACATACAGCTTCACAAATGTGCATGTGCACGCATGCCTATATACATTTACGCACATGTACGTGTACATGTATACACCTATATATATACACACATATATATATATATATATACACACACATATATATATTTATATATATATATGTATATATATGTATATATCTACACACATACGTCTATAATATAGATGAATGCTGCCCCCCCCGGGTCTCGGGTCCCCCACCTCCCCGTGACGTCTCGATGACGCTCCCGGTACCGTTCCCTCGGCCTTTCCGGGGAGCCTCCACCGCGCTCCAGGAGGGCCCAGGACGCCTCCCAGGAGTGTCCAGAATACGAAAGGATGGCCCAAAACGCTCCCAAGCAGCCCAAGTCAGCCTTCCGACGGTTCTCGAGGCTCCCAGGTGGCTCCAAGAAACCCCAAAAGAGGTCCGAGAGGCGTCCCGGGACGGCCCGGACAGGCCAACATCGTTGTTTTCGAATTTCCAACGTTGTAAGAACGCCGAAGAGTCGCCCAAGACCGCCCCAAGACCACCCAGGAGACCCTCAGGACGGCCCCAAGAAGGACCAAGAAGGCTCCAAGACTCCCGAAACGCCCAGGACAGCCCCAGACCACCTCAGAACAGGCCCGAGACTGGCCCAAGAGCAGGAGCAGGAGGCTTCCAGAGACCTCCGAGAGGCCTCCTGGACCACCCAGAGGCCCCCGACACCCCCCCGATCCCTGAGAGGTCCTAAAAAGACCCCAACGAGGCTCCAAGAACAGCCCAAGAGAATTGCGAGAGCCGTCCCGAGAGAGCCCAAAGAGGGTCAAACCGTTGATTTCCAATTGTTTTTTCTAATGTTTTTCGCCTTTCACGTTTTCCTGCTTCCAACCCTCGAAGATCAAGGATTTTGAAAAAGGGAATTCCCAGAATTCCTTCTTTTTTTCAATGTGACACTCCTACTCGGAGGTCCCACACATCCCCTGACATCTGGCCGGCACCGCGTCTCCCAGCTTCCCATGGGGGGGCCCCAAGACGCCCCAGGACAGCCCAAGACGACCCCAAGGAACCCCCAGAACGTACAGAACGGCCCAACACGCTCCCGCGCAGCCCGAGACACCCTTCCGACGGCTGTCCAGGCATCCAGGAGGCCTCCAGAAACCCCAGGGGGTCCAGAAGATCCTGCACCCCTGAGGGGATCGGCTAACAAAATCCGCGAGGCACAACCAAAAAACAGCGCCGAACAGCGCCGAGGAATTAGAAAAACAATGAAGTCCCACAATCCTTGTTTTTTCTGTCCAAGTTTGGCCTCCGGTCTACTCTTGCACAGCAGACGACGATTCAGACCACCCATCACTTCCCAAAAAAGAATCCAGGAAGCCTCCGTAGCAAGTTTGGCTCAAGCCAGTGGCACAAGCATGCGCAGCCGTGCTCAGTGACTATATATCGTCTTGAGTTTGAAACGCGTAGGGTGCCTCCCAAGATATCAATGGGCCCTGGGCGCCAAGGCAGTCCGTATGAGTTGCATTGCAGCTTGCACGGGGTGTTCACCGCATTGCTTCTGGCGATGATGACATGTGAGGCGCGCTGTCATGAGAGGCAGGGTTGTGCAAACAATCCCGCAGATTGGACCGATAGTAGAGGGCTTCCTTGCGACGACTACGAGGATTTGTGCACGACATCTGCTGATCAGGTCATGAATCGCCATTTCGTCATCGGCTATCCTTCGGATGTGGGGAGCATGGGCCATTCGGCTATGGAAGCTTGCTGTATTTGCGGTGGTGGACGTGAAATTCACGTCGCAACTTCCATGATAACCAACACCACCCCGGCAATCGCTTCCATAACTAGCATCGCTACCAAATCTGTGAAGGGCAGGAGGCTCCTTGCCAGCACCACCGTGACGAGTACTACCACTATGACCAGCACCACTACCCTGACGAGCACAACTGCGACCAGCACCACTACCCTGACGAGCACAACTGCGACCAGCACCACTACCCTGACCACTGCCACCATGACTAGCACCACTACCCTGACAAGCATCACTGCGACCAGCACCACTACCCTGACCACTGCCACCATGACTAGCACCACTACCCTGACGAGCTTAACTGCAACCAGCACCACTACCCTGACCACTGCCACCATGACTAGCACCACTACCCTGACAAGCATCACTGCAACCAGCACCACTACCCTGACCACTGCCACCATGACCAGCACCTCCACCTTGACCACTGCTACCATGACCAGCACCACTACCCTGACGAGCTTAACTGCGACCAGCACCACTACCCTGACCACTGCCACCATGACTAGCACCACTACCCTGACGAGCTTAACTGCAACCAGCACCACTACCCTGACCACTGCCACCATGACCAGCACCTCCACCTTGACCACTGCTACCATGACCAGCACCACTACCCTGACGAGCTTAACTGCGACCAGCACCACTACCCTGACCACTGCCACCATGACTAGCACCACTACCCTGACGAGCTTAACTGCAGCCAGCACCACTACCCTGACCACTGCCACCATGACTAGCACCACTACCCTGACCACTGCCACCACGACCAGCAGCACCACCTTGACCACTGCCACCACGACCACCTTGACCACTGCTACCGCGACCAGCAGCAGCACCTTGACAACTGCCACAATCACCAGCACCAGCACCATGTCCACTCATACTGCTACCAGCACCTCCACCTTGACCACTGCTACCAGCGCGACTAGCAGTACCACCATTTACACTCACACTGGGACCAGTACCTCCCAGAGTACTGGTACCGCCACCAGCTTGAGTGCCACCAGTACCAGTGTAACCAGCACCACTGCGACCAGCACCACTGCGACCAGCACTAGTAGCACTCATACATCTACCACCACACCCCTTTACGTTGTCTCCAGTTCCATCTCATTTCAAAGCAATGGGACGGTTGATAATATTACAAGGGCATTAACATCTCATTTAGCGAGTGTTTTCCAAGTTGATGAAGATAATGTCATTGTGACTGTCACCGCTTCTGCGAGCCTGGCCCGGTATGTCGTTGATGGTTCTGGCCCGCAGTATAACGTCGATTGGGAGATCATCTCGCCTGAAGCTCCTGCGAAGAACGTATACGATTTTGCAAGCCAGGTTGTTAATGATAGCGTTGTTGCTTATGATTTCGGATCAGGTATTCAATCACTCTTCCTTTCGCAAGGTTTCGCGATAGTGGGATCTGAGATCGAAGTAACACCACCAGACATTAAGGTGATTACTGCAACCAGGACAACTGTCAGCATGACTGAGACCAGCACAACAGGGAGCAGCACCATGTCCACTCGCACTGCAACCAGCACCACCACCTTGACTACCACGCTGACCAGCAGCACCACCGTGTCCACTGCCACGATGACCAGCACCACCCTGACAAGTGCCACCATGACCAGCATCACCACCACTTTGACCACTGACACACTGACCAGCGGCACTACTACTACAGTGTACACCACTACCTTCACCTCCAGGACCAGCATTACTAGCTCGACCACTGCTACAACGACCAGCATCACCACCTTGACCACTGCCACCACGACCAGCAGCACCACCTTGACCACTGCCACCACGACCACCTTGACCACTGCTACCGCGACCAGCAGCAGCACCTTGACAACTGCCACAATCACCAGCACCAGCACCATGTCCACTCATACTGCTACCAGCACCACTACCTTGACCACCACGTTGACCAGCACCAGCACCTTGACAACTGCCACAATCACCAGCACCAGCACCATGTCCACTCATACTGCTACCAGTACCACTACCTTGACCACCACGTTGACCAGCACCAGCACCTTGACAACTGCCACAATCACCAGCACCAGCACCATGTCCACTCATACTGCTACCAGCACCACTACCTTGACCACCACGTTGACCAGCACCAGTACTGTGTCCATGACCAGCACCACGACCCTATTCACTGTCACAATGACCACCACCCCCACCGACACCACTATCACCACCACCACCCCTCTCGGCGCAACTACTACTATCACCGTCACGACACAGACAAGCACCACTACGCGGATATACATTGTTGCGGGATCTATGTGGTTCGAAAGCACGGGCACTCAAGAGCAGGTGGAAAGTGCGTCAGTGAATGCACTTGCTTCACATTTCGGCGTGCCCGAAAGTGCTGTGTTCTGTGTCGCCTCGCTTTTCACAAACAGCTCGCGACGGCTCATGTCGGACCGGGAGCTCACCAGCTCAGTCACGCATTGGCAGGTCGATTGGACGATAGTTGCAAGTGCATCTCCCGCCTTTTCGGCATACGACGTAACGACAGAGCTGCATCAGCATGTAAACGCGACCTCAGGAGAGAACTTGGAGTCGATTGAGACGTTTTATAGCCTCATGGAGCTCGCCATGTCATCTCGGGGCCTGACACTCGTGTCAAATTCCAGTGTCTTCGTGCACGCAGAGCCCACGATAATGGAAATCACCGTCACCCAGACGACATCAACGACGGCAACGCCATTCGCAGAGGGCCTCATTGCCGACACGGAGAAAACGGCGAGCATTGATTTTGTCATTATGGGCATCATAGTTGGCGCGATATTTGTTTTGTGTTGTTGCATTCAATTGTTATGTTTCTTAAGGATCCGCCGGCAACGGAAGTCTGAAGAGGACTTGGAGGCTGTGTCGCGAAATGACCTCGAGCAGGGGACGCCCGAGGACATAATATGGGTCGCGCCTGGAGCGCCCCCAAGGATCGAGTCGCAAAGCAACGCACCCAAGCAGGCGCGCAGCCTGTCACGCGGTGCACGCGGTGCATCGGCCAAAGCGTCTTTGGGAAGCGAGATCGGCGCATCGCAACGGAGCAGCCTTTCGTCGACAGGTATGCGATCGGGTAGGTCAGGCGGAAATTTGTCACCCAGTCCGTCGGCTGCCTCAGCCAGGTCTGGTGACGCCGGGTTGGCTCGCAGCTGGTCTCGGGCCTCAGGGCTTTCGATTTAGTCCCGGGAAGGTAGCTTGACGATAGCAAAGGCTACATGAAACAACCGTTCCAGATACCCCACCAGATAAGACACATTTTTGCATCCACTATCGCGCAGACGCGGTGACGGGCATGTGCTTCGTGGCGACAGCGAGACCCCCTATCGCAGCACGCAGCACTGCATTTTAATCCGCATCAGATACGCGAGGGGATCAGACATAGCAGTTGAATGCTACAGTCGTCTCCCGATGTATTAACCATTCGGCCGAATACCCTTCGCTTCTCATGTGTTGTAACTTCCATGATGAGTGCGACATTTGAGCAGTGTGGGTAGATCTATCGCTTTGTGGGTGCGGAACCGGCTTGCCTTCAGTAGCCCACTTCCCGGCTCGCAGCGGCAACGGGGATGGCGGAGGATCCCAGCAGGGATTGAAATGGGGCCCTTTTCGTTTCCGACCACCGCTCCAGTGGCCAGATTGTCTCACATCTGCTCGAGCCGAGCCGGCAGCAGTAGGCGAGCGAGGTGGAAGGGAGGGGGACAGAGAGTGTGAGCATTCTTACGTTTGTAGATTTACGAAAAAAACTTGCAGATACACATGTGTACACAGCTTTAATTCGCGGTGAGCCACCCAGGTTCTAGGTCTCGCGTTCCGGTAAGTGGCACGCATGTTGACGCCCTTGGAACGCAAAGTGCGTTTCCACTGCATTTGCACTTGTATGCTCACTCCGCGCTTGGCACTGTTGCTTCAGAGAGTTCGACAACAAAATTATGCTAACGGAGTTCCCCACATAAAGATGTTACGGGGTTCCATTGCTTCTTGTCTGCGCTCTGGTGGGGCCTCCCTGGAGGGGTGGGAGGGGCACGAAACCTGATGAATAATATGGTGTGCGAATACCCTGCCCGCTCTGGTGGGGCCTCCCTGGAGGGGTGGGAGGGGCACGAAACCTGATAAATAATATGGTGTACGGATACCCTGCCCGCTCTGGTGGGGCCTCCCTGGAGGGGTGGGAGGGGCACGACACCTGATAAATAACATGGTGTGCGAATACCCTGCCCGCTCTGGTGGGGCCTCCCTGGAGGGGCGGGAACGGCACGAAACCTAATAATAATATATGGCGTGCGAATACCCTGCCCGCTCTGGCGGGGCCTCCCTGGAGTGGCGGGAGGGGCACGAAACCTGATAAATAATATGGTGTGCGAATGCCCTGCCCGCTCTGGTGGGGCCTCCCTGGAAGGGTGGGAGGGGCACGAAACCTGATAAATCATATGGTGTGCGAATACCTTGCTTGCTCAGGCTGGGCCTCCCTGGAGGGGTGGGAGAGGCACGAAAACTTATAAATAGCATGGTGTGCGGATACCCTGCCCGCTCTGGTGGGGCCTCCCTGGAGGGGTGGGATGGGCAGGATACCTGATAAATAACATGGTGTGCGAACACCCTTCCCGCTCTGGTGGGGCCTCCCTGGAGGGGTGGGAGGGGCACGAAACCAGATAAATAACATGGTGTGCGAATACCCTGCTCGCTCAGGCGGGGCCTCCCTGGAGGGGTGGGAGGGGCACGAAACCTGATAAATAACATGGTGTGCGAATACCTTGCTTGCTCAGGCTGGGCCTCCCTGGAGGGGTGGGAGAGGCACGAAAACTTATAAATAACATGGTGTGCGAATACCCTGCTCGCTCAGGCGGGGCCTCCCTGGAGGGGTGGGATGGGCAGGATACCTGATAATAACATGGTGTGCGAACACCCTTCCCGCTCTGGTGGGGCCTCCCTGGAGGGGTGGGAGGGGCACGAAACCTGATAAATAGCATGGTGTGCGAATACCCTGCTCGCTCAGGCGGGGCCTCCCTGGAGGGATGGGTGGGGCAGGAAACCTGATAAATATCATGGTGTGCGAATACCCTGCTCGCTCAGGCGGGGCCTCCCTGGAGGGGTGGGAGGGGCACGAAACCTGATAAATAACATGGTGTGCGAATACCCTGCTCGCTCAGGCGGGGCCTCCCTGGAGGGTGGGAGGGGCACGAAACCTGATAAATAATATGGTGTGCGAATACCCTGCTCGCTCAGGCGGGGCCCCCCTGGAGGGGTGGGAGGGGCACGAAACCTGATAAATAACATTGTGTGCGAATACCCTGCTCGCTCAGGCGGGTCCCCTCCGGAGGGTGGGAGGGGCACGAAACCTGATAAATAACATGGTGTGCGAATACCCTGCCGCTCAGCGGGTCCTCCCTGGAGGGGTGGGAGGGGGGGAAACCTATGAATAAATACATGGTGTGCGAATACCCTGCTCGCTCATGCGGGGCCTCCCTGGAGGGGTGGGAGGGGCACGAAACCTGATAAATAACATGGTGTGCGAATACCCTGCTCGCTCAGGCGGGGCCTCCCTGGAGAGGTGGGAGTGGCACGAAACCTGATAAATAACATGGTGTGCGAATACCCTGCTCGCTCAGGCGGGGCCTCCCTGGAGGGGTGGGAGGGGCGCGAAACCTGATAAATAACATGGTGTGCGAATACCCTGCTCGCTCAGGCGGGGCCTCCCTGGAGGGGTGGGAGGGGCACGAAACCTGATAAATAACATGGTGTGAGGAAAGGCATGGTATGGTATGGGATGGTGGATGCATGGTATGGTATGGTAAGGTATGGTATGGAGTGGCATGGTATTGGTATGGTATGATACAGTATGGGATGGTGGAGGAAGCGGGAGGAGGAGGAGGAGGAGGAGGAGGAGGAGGATGTTCTGGGAAAACAAGAACCCCACTCAGGATGTGGGGAAAAAGAATCCAGGAGGCCTTTAAGGGCCCAAAATCGTTGAAAACCAAAAAAGGGAATTAATGATATCTGCGTTTCCGCACTTCCCCTTCTTTACGATTCCGAGGCTTGCGCAGGGCCTCCAAGGGAGTCCCTGGACGCAAGAAACGCCCAAATGAGATGACATGAGTTAGCTGATTCAGCCTAGGTAGAACTTGAGCGCGCGAAGCGCGCGATGGTTCTAGTATGTATGTATGTATGTATGTCTGTATGTATGTATGTATGTATGTATGGTTACAGCGCCCTCTGAGATCTACCTTTCAAACATGAATGTACCTTTCCTTTTGTATACAAATGAAATAACAATCAACTCATTTAATCTATTTAACTATTTGATTAATTTAATTCAATTAATTCCTTTACTTTATTATTTAATTTATTTAATTCATTTAATTTATTTAATTTATTTCATTTTGATACACCTTCATCTGCCAAGGACGTGACAGAGGGAAGGGGTTCCCAGGGCCATTAAAAATTAAATAAATTAAATAAATTAAATAATTGCGTTTTTTTTGCATTTACACTAGGAAACCTATTGTGTAATAAAAAACACAGGAAATCATTTAATTCATTTAATTTATTTAATTTATTTAATTTATTTAATTTATTTAATTTTAATACACCTCCATCTGCCGAGGAGTTGACAGTGGGAAGGGGTTACCAGGGCCATTAAACATTAAATAAATTAAATAAATTAAATAAATTAAATAAAATAAATAATTCCTTGCGTTTTTTGCATTTACAATAGGAAACCTATTGTGTAATAAAAAACACAGGAAATCATTTAATTTATTTAATTTATTTAATTTATTTAATGTATTTAATTTATTTAATTTTAATACACCTCCATCTGCCGAGGAGGTGACAGGGGGAAGGGGTTACCAGGGCCATTAAAAATTAAATAAATTAAACAAATTAAATAAATTAAATAATTCCTAGCGCTTTTTGCATTTACAATAGGAAACCTATTGTGTAATTTAAAACACAAGGAATCATTTAATTTGTTTAATTTATTTAATTTATTTACTTTATTTAATTCCAATACACCTCCATCTACCGAGGAGGTGATAGGGGGAAGGGGTTATCAGGGCGATTAAACATTAAATAAATGAAATAAATCCAATAAATTAAATAAATTATACAGATTAAATAAATTAAATAAATTAAATAAATTAAATAAATTAAATAAATTAATTAAATAAATTAAATAGTTCCTGGCAGTTACACTAGGAAACCTATTGTGTACAATAAGAACCTATTTTGGAATAGACACGCAGGACATTGAAAGGAACATGCGATTGGAAGTGTCGGCGATGCAATGCCAAGAGAGATTTGGATGATTCTCCTGTGCACCACGCGCACCAGCTCGTCAGTATCCAAAGAACAACATAATGGAGAGAGCATGATTCAATAGCTATTTGACATGACATGTCCCATGGCTTTCCATTTGTCATCGTGTTCGTTCCAATACTTCCACTGGAACTCTCTACTACTAGTGCTAGTACCAGTACTGGTATTACCACTACTTCTACTACTACTACTACCACTGCTACTACCACTACTGCTGCTACTAGTATTAGTACGAGTACTAGTACTAGTACTCGTACTCGTACGCGTACTAGTACTACTACTACTACGACTAGTATTAATACTATTACTAGTACTAGTATTACTAGTACTACTGCGACTACTACTACTAGTAGTACTAGGACTACTACTACTACTCCTACTGCTTCTACTACTACTACTAGTACTAGTACTAGTACTAGTTCTACTACTACTACTACTACTAATACTACTACTACTACTACTACTACTACTACTACCTCTACCAGTACTACTACTATGGCCGCTACTACTACTACTACTACTACTACTACTACTACTACTACTAGTACTAATAGGACTAGTATAGTACTAGTACTAGTGACTACTACTGCTGCTACTACTACTACTTGCTACTACTACTACCATTGCTACTCTTACTCCTACTACCACCACTACTACTACTACTACTACTACTACTACGACTTCTACTACTGCTACTACTACTACTACTTATATTACTTATATTACTACTACTAGTACTAGTATTAGTTCTAGTACTAGTACTAGTACTACTAATACTACCACTAGCATTACTATTGCTACTGCTACTACTGACACTACTACTACTACTACTACTACTACTACTACTAGTACTAGTACTAATGCCAGTACTAGTACGACTACCACTACTACTACTACTACTACTACTACTAAGACTAGTACTAGTACTACTCTACTAGACTAGTATTAGTACGACGACTCGACTACTACTACTACTACTACTACTACTACTACTACCACTATTACTACCAGTGCTAGTACTAGTACTAGTACTAGTACTAGTGCTACTACTACTACCGCTACCACTACCGTTTCTACTACCACTACCACTGCTACCACTACTACTACTACTACTACTACTTCTACTACTACTACTACTACTACTACTACTACTGTACTCGTTAAGCAAAATGGCCCTTGATAAACCCCACTCCCAACCCCCCTCTTAAATGCTATCCTCACCGTACTAGTACTAGTACTAGTTTTTACTACTGCTAGACTACTACTATTGCGATTGCTCATTGCTAATGCCATTTACTAGTGCGACTACGAACTACTACTACTACTACTACTACCACGAGTACTACTGCTACTACTACTACTAGTACTAGTACTAGTACGAGTGCTAATATTAGTACTAGCACTACTACTACTACTACTACCACTACTCCTAGTACTAGTGCCAGTACTAGTACAAATACTAGTACTACGACTACTACTACTACTACTAGTACTAGTGCGAGTGCTACTACTACTACTACTACCATTACCATTACTATTACTACTACCACTACCACTACTACGGCTTCTACTACTACTACTACTACCACTACTACGACTACCACTACTACTACCACCACTACCATTACTACCACTACTGCTACTACCACCGCTACTACTACTACTACTACTGCTACTACTACTACTACTACTACTACTACTACTAGGACTAGTACTAGCACTAGTACGAGTACTACTGCTACTATTACTACGACTAGTACTAGTACAAGCACTAGTACTAGTACTAGCACTACTACTACTACTACTACTACTACCACTACTACTACTACTACAACTACCACTACAATTACTACTATTACTACTACTACTACTACTACTACTATTGCTACTACCCTACTACTATTACTATTACTACTACTACTTCTACGACCAGTACTAGTACTAGTACTAGTACTAGTACTAGTACTAGTACTAGTACTAGTACTACTACTACTACTACTACCACTACCACTACTACTACTACTACTACTACTACTACTACCACTACCATTACTACGACTACTACTATCACTACTACTACTACCATTACTACTACTACGACCCACTACTACTTCTACCCAAGCAGCATCAATGAGAGTTCGTTGTTACTTTTTTCAAGTGAAACGTCCTCACGGGGAGACAGAAAGCTCTGGCGACGGCTCGGTGGGTGAGTGCTCTGGGGAGGCCTCCTCCCAGATAGCTTCCACCTCGGCGGAGTTATGGGCGCCCTTGGAACTAAATACTAATTCTCTGACGCCGTGCGACGAATTTCCGCGGCTGCTGTACGACGTGCGGGCCACTGGTGCAGCAACAGTGCGGGTGGTTGCTGACGCGTCTACTGACCACTGTATGTTTTGAAGCTGCTGCCTAAGAGACGGCTCAGGACGCTGGGTGGAAACGTGTTGCACTCGTCGATTACGGTGTTGTTCCCCGGCCTCCGCCACAGCCCGCCCGTCGAGCACTTCCATCCGAGCGGCGGCCTCTCTGATTTTTTTGTCGGCGTACAGCTCACGTCGCCTCTTGAGCTTGGCCCTCCGCGCTTCAAGAACCTCCTCCAATGTCCTTTCGCGGCGTGGCCGTCCCTCTGGGGCCATGCCAAGGCGAACAATTCAATCGGCTGTTGTGTTATGTAGTGCAGACATGCAACATAAGGCTTGGACCAAGGTCGACGGAATACGATATGCCCGGCTGCAACTACAATCTGAAGATAATCTTCCGCCGCATTCCACTCCACTTCATCTTTGTCTCCCTCCTCCCTGCTCACCCTCCTCCTTCCTCCTCCCCCCCCTCCTCCCCCGCTCCCCATATGCTAATTCCAAGCTTCCGCCAGCTTCCTGCAACTACAATCTGAAGATAATCTTCCGCCGCATTCCAGTCCACTTCAGCTTTATCTCCCTCCTTCCTGCTCACCCTCATCCTTCCTCCTCCTCCTCCTCCTCCTCCTCCCCCGCTCCCCATATGCTAATTCCACGCTTCCGCCAGCTTCCTGCAACTACAATCTGAAGATAATCTTCTGCCGCATTCCACTCCACTTCATCTTTTTCTCCCTCCTCTCTGCTCACCCTCCTCCTTCCTCCTCCTCCTCCCCCGCTCCCCTATGCTAATTCCAAGCTTCCGCCAGCTTCCGCAAGCAAAAGAATTGCCAGCCGAAGTTGCACTCCCACGCATCCCACTCCACTTCATCTTTATCTTCCTCCTCCCTCCTCCTCACTCCTCCTCCTCCTCCCCCCCCTCTTCCTCCTCCTCCTCCTCCCTCCTCCCGCGCTCCCCTATGCAAATTGCAAGCTTCCGCCAGCTTCCGCAAGCATCAGAATGCTTCCGCCAACTTCCGCCAGCTGCGGCGGAGTGCTTGGCGAAGATACCTTCAGAGAGTCGGAAGATCCAAAAAAAATGCCACCCCGAGCAGGGTCCTCGAAATTCCAGCCCCATGCCGCTGGGCACAGGGCTAGAGTTTCGAGAACCATGCTCGGGGGGGCATATTTTACACATGTGGATGTGTTTTCCTCCTCCTCCTCCCTCCTCCTCCTCCTCCCCCGCTCTCCTATGCTCATGGCAAGCTCCCGCCAGCTTCCGCAAGCATCAGAATGCTTCCGCCAGCTGCCGCCAGCTGCGGCGGAATGCTTGGCGAAGAAACCTTAAGAGAATCGGAAGATCCAAAAAAAAATGCCCCCCCGAGCATGGTCCTCGAAATTCCAGCCCCATGCCGTTGGGCACAGGGCTAGAGTTTCGAGAACCATGCTCGGGGGGGCATTTTTTTACACACGTGGATGTGTTTTCCTTCTCCTCCTTCCTCCTCCTCCTCCTCCACCGCTCCCCTATGCTAATTGCAAGCTTCCGCCAGCTTCCGATGCCGATGCTCGGGGGGGGGGGGGGATGAATGCTAGAAGGCTGGCGAAGCGGGAAATGGAGAAAGAGAGAGAAAGAGAGATGAAGAACGAGGGGTAGATAACAAGAGGACGAACGAACTAAGATAATAATAAGATAATATGACAACGCAGAGAGATGGAGGAGCGCTTCCACTCGATAAAAACCATATGAAAACGGCGAGGTCCGCCACAATTCCCCGACCTCGAGAGTTAAGGAATGGAGGAAGGAGCGAATAAGAAGACGGTAAAAAGAAGAAGAGGGAATAAAGCCAATCAAGACGAGAAAGGTAGATCACAGAGGGCGCTGTGAGCACATATATATATATATATATATATATGCGTGCATCGTAGATCCCCCGCGGTGGATCGAGGCCATTTGCCAGCATGCCCTTTGCGAGTCGTGGAACGCGCTTGTGTACACACGGCCAGCCTCGGCGGGGTGCCGCCGCCGCTGCCCCCGCCGCGCTCGCGGGAGAGCGCGGAACTTCGGGGCCGGCGCCAATCGTCGGCCTCAGGAGCCTCGTTCCCGGACCCCCTCGGGTCATGAAAAATTCGCGACGGGAGGTGTTCCTTTATTTTCTCGGCCACGCCTTGGGACCGTCGAAAAACAACTCGGGATGGAAAACCGGCCCCGGGGAATGCGTCGATTTGGGGGTGGTCGAGGGTTTGGGTCAGGAGTCGCCCGCCCTCCGTGGCCAGGCTTTCTGCTCCTCAAGCGGGGCCATGCCATGCCGCCCCCCCCTTCCGCAGAGAAGGCGCCGAGGGGCCCGTGTGCAGACGGGCTGCGCCAGACTGCACCGCCGCTTTCTGCAGTTCCACAAGTGGTGCCGCGTTCGGCAAAAGGCCCGCTTGCCCTGCTGCCCGCCCTGAGTCGCTGGTTACCCAATGACCGAGCTTCTGGAGCCCTTTGCAGCCACAGCGCCACCCAGCACCCGCAGCCGCAGCACTCAAAGCAGCCAGGGGAGGAGGGAGAACCACGAGGTGCAGGAAGAGACCGAGAGAGAGAGAGAGAGCTGAGCCAGAGCCCTCCATAGCAGCAGCGGCAGCAACGCGGCGGCGGCAGCATTGGAGGAAAGGAGAAGGGCAGGTGGCGGTGTTGGTGGGAAACCCTCAGACTGCGACGCACGCACACACACACACACACACACACACACGCGCGCGCACACACGCACACACACACACACACACACACACTCACGCACGCAAGCACGCACGCACGCACACACACACACACACACACACACACACACACACACACACACACACACACACAAACACACACACACACACACCGATCCTCGCCAGGACCATCTTGGGCCCAGGATCAGTGGCTTGGCGAGGCAGGCATACGCACCAATCCTGAGCCCAGGCCCGGCCGGGATGGGTGTGGGTGTACAGTTGGCGCCCTCCGAGTTCTAGGAGCATCTGCAGGCAACGACGGCTGCCCAGGCTCAGATGCCGTCCACCACCACCCGTGGCCATGTTGGTTCTGGCCAGCGGTTGCGGCGCCTGCTCGGCGGGCGCGTCGGGCTTGGGATGGCGTGGGAGGCCGCCGTCGCGAGGGGGCTTGAGGGGACGGGAGGTCTCATGATGAGGACAATAAGAATGGTGGTGGTGGGGGTGGCGATGGGCGATGATTGTTTTTCGATGCAGCAATTTGCAGGAACGTAAATTCCAGAGGTCCGCGCGGATTCCTTGGATCGGCGCTGGGCCCCTGGTGCGCTCCGCACTCCGCGCGCCAGGGAGGGAGGTCCAGCGCCGATCCGAGAAATCAGCGAGGACTCTCGACCATTCATGCATATGCTGCTGCTTTTTTCTAGTCAGGATGTTGAGGGTAGTTGTGATGGTAATGACGAGTGTACTGACTCGAAAAGAAAGGTGCCCGTGCGGGCTTGTGTCGCCGACACCGTGACAGCACGGCAGGCGTCCCTGAGAGTTCGAAGCACGCGGGGGAGGGCCCCATTCCTGCGAGGGCTCCAGGCCCAGACCTCGGCACACGGTGCCAGCGCAGATGCTTTTGCGCTGGGCGAGAGACACACGCTGCCGTCGCAGTCGGCAGCGCACCGTGGGCCTTCAGCGTAGCTGTAGCTGCCTACGCAGTGCGGAAGTCGCAATCGGCAGCGAGCCAGCGGTGCTGTGGATCGTCGCAACCAGCAGCCGTGCGGAGAATTGCCCAGCGAGCGAGGCGGCCAGCGAAGCTGTCGGTGGCCAGCACCCCTAGACAGCCTGCACGGTGGACCCGCAGGGCTTGTCCTGAGCTCCGCGGCTAGGCGAGGCAGATTGCCAGCCGAAGAAGCTACCATTGTTGGCCTGTTGATACGGGTACAGAGCATGTACAGATTCTGCAGTTGCGCTCAGCCCGCTGCCATTTCCAGCTACTGGCGAGAGGCACCTCGCCGACAACGAGAGGACGCATTGAAAGGGTCGAACGCGTCATACTCCCGATGCGCACCGCTGTCGATCGCTGAGCTTGGACCAGCGAAGGGCCCGGTAGCGAAGCCACCGACTTCGGGCTCGTTCGGTCGAGGACCTCGACCGAACGAGCCCAAGCCGCCGAGAGCGGTGACGTAGCTTGTGTCGGAACCCTCACCTTGATCACGTCGACGAGGGCGCGTTGCTGCCCTTCCGCGGCTCAGGCTCCGCGATTCCGTGCTCGGTGCCCTGGACTGCAGCCCCGGCGCCCGCTGGAGGCACCGACTGACTAGCGCGCCACCGATGGCGTTCTTGGCTGTCGCCGCAAGCCAAAATCTGCGCCGCTGCGTCCGCCAGCGCCTCCTCGACCGTGTCGAGCTCCAAACGCGGCCGAGCCCATCCCTGCAGCCTCGCCGCCAGCCGGCTCCTCGGCCACCTCGCGGTGGAGAGCCCGCAGGCCCGGCGCAGCCGTGCTTGTGGGTCCCAGAGGTCCGCCGCGATTGCAGGACGCAGGTGTCCTCCCTCGGCCACCTCCTTCCAGGCCGTGCCCGCGCCCGACCGCTCGGCCAAATCTGCTGCCGACGCAAGCCTCCCGCGGCTCGTAGCTCGATGGGCGCTTCCTGGAATCCTAAGCCGCGTCGCGCGCCGCTGGCCAGCCGTCTGCGCGTCGAGGGTGTCGAACTCAGCCTCGCGGTCCTGCATCTCCCGCTGGGCCCGCGCCGCACAAGTCCCCAACGGTGAGCTCAGCCTGGTGCGCGGTGCCCAAGTGTCATTAAGCAATGCTCAGGCAGGGCGTCCCGCGCGGCCACCGAGGGCATGGATGGGCATTGCGCCGCAGCAGCCGCCGCCCACCGTCACGTCCGCGCAGTGATCCGCCCAGCAGGTTGCCGAGCTCCCGCTACGCCTCGAGCTGCGCCGCGGCACCCTGCGCCGCAGCGCGGGTGCTTGAGGTCGGCTGGGCCGTTGTCGCGCCTGCCCGCGCGGCCGCAGTGCCAGGGTGTGTTGCGTTGGCCCTTTGTCGATGCTCCCATTACTACCGCGTGCGCACTGCTGGGTGCGGGGGCCTCGCCTTAGCCGTGGGCAATTGGGCCAAAGCAGCTACTCACGACAGCAAAGACGACGGGGGTAGTTGGGAGGAGGATCTGACAGTGACGATGGTGGTTACGACGGTGACGGCGACGGTGGTGGTGACGAGGGCGGTGATGGATGATGGTGATGAGGAGTGGTGGCGACGGTAGCGGCGACGATGGCACAGGTGGTGATGATGCGGATGATGATGAGAACGATGCTGATGGCGACGACGACGACGACGACGACGACGACGACGACGACGGCCAGGCGGCGCGCGGGGAGCTGCTGGACGGCGGCCTGTGCGTGGTGCGGGGCCTGCTGGGCGACGACGGCCGCGCCGCCGCGGCGCTGAGGCGCGCGCCGCGCCTGCGCCGCCTCGCCGAGCGGGGGCACACCCGCCTTCTTTGTCTGCCCCCGTGTGGGCCTTACCGGCCCAGACCTCCCCGGAAAGTTGGTGCTCCACTGCCAGCGCGTTTTTCCCCGATCCTGGCTTGCGGGGGCCGTCGTCAGGCCCCTGGGCAGTCAAGAACAGAGCTGGGGCGGAAAGCCGGCCTTGGGCAAGGGGTCGGGAGTCCTGGGGCCGCGGATGGACAAGAGCCAGATCTGAGGGGCGAGAGCCTTCACGAAGGGCCGACCCTCCGCCTCTCGGCCCCGTCTGGCGGAGAGTCGGCGGCGATTGGCGGGCGCGAGTAGTCGGCGGAGGCCCGGCGCGGAAGTCGACCAGGCAGGGCACCTCCTCCTCGTCCGTGCCCCCCTCGCCTCCTCGCCTTCTCTCTCTCTCTCTCTCTTCTCCTCGCTCGTGGGGCTGGAGGTCTGCTCCAGGCTCCTCTGGCTCTCCCCTTCTTTCTTTCAGACGCCTCTAGCCACACCGTGACAGGCCACCAAACAGGAATTGAGGGTTAAAAGTTGCGCTGAACTCTGCCGTGCTTTGCTGTGCAACCCTGATGAATCAGCCGGGATATCGAACAGACTGCGTCCTCTAAGGCCATAGCTTCCGCAGTGAAAGATGAAACAGACGGATGAATGTACGTGCCGCTCATTGCGATTGGGAAAATGTGGCGACGGCCGTCGCGCAAGACCACCGCTTCGGCGAACCAGGCTCCAGCTGAGCAGGAACCTGCGCGGGTCCCCCCATCAGAATGGATGATAAAATTGGCTTCGAGCACACTAAAATCTTCCAGGGTTGGCGCGACGTCTTTCCGCCAGCCAGTGCCCGAATCCATGGTGTGATTCACAAGAAAATCAGCGATGCGATTGTTCTCGCGCCGGTGCCAAACGATGGGATCCCCCGCCTGAGATGCCGGAGACCATCCAGCGTCTGGTGCGGTCCCCTCTATGTGCGGTCCCTCGGGTCACGAGCAGTGTCGGGGGTGGGGGGCGGGGGCACGCATCGACCTCCAATCGCCCACTCATCGCCGACAGGGGCCCGATATCCCGCCCCGCCGCGGAACGTGCGGATTCGCTACTGGGGGCCGTTCGCCGATCTCGTATCGCCGATTCGGGCTCGATGTCCCCCCCCTCTCGTGCAGGTCGCCCCTATCGGGCCACTTCATCCTGTCGGGAGGCAGGGAGTTGTCGGTGAGGGGGTCCGAGAGCGTAGTTCGGGCCCCCTCTCTCCCCCTCCCTGGTCTCCCCATCCACCGTCGGGTATTACCAAAGGTCCCTGGCCCGGGGAGTCCCCAGGCTCTCGCGCCTGTCTGGAGCCCCGTGGGGCCGGGCCCGTCTGGGCCTAGTCTTGGCGGGCGTTTCTGCCTGCCTGGGAAAGCTGGGGTCAGCGGAGGCCAGGACGCCCGAAAACCTGATGGATCGACGACGCTTGGCGACACGTTGGGGAATTTGTGGGGAGCGTATTTGCGGGTATTGAAGATGTGCACTTGTATATAAATGTGTATGTATACACATATGTGCATGCATATATATATATATATATACACATGCATACATACATACATACATACATACATATATACATAGCCAGGTTTGTATGTGTATGATGTGTGTGATTTTGACTGTGTGTATGTATGTATGTGCATGTGTGTATGTACGTATGTATGTATGTGTATGTGTGTGTATAAATGTATGTATGTATGCAGGCATGCACGCATGTATGTATGTATGCATGCATGCATGGATGCATGTGTGTATGTGTGGATGCATGTATGTATGTATGTATGTATGTGTATGTATGATTTAGTGAGCCCTTGAACTAGTGTTTTGTTTAGACAGCAATGCAGCAGGGAGGGAGACGCTCGATGCCGCAACTGAGTTGGCTCGAAGGATGGCTTTCTGAGAGAGAGCGGCAGGCGGGCACCTCTCCGAGCCCCGCCCCAGGATGACGCCTCTGCCGCCGCCCACGCCTACGCCCACGCCATGGAGCCTCCGCCTGAAGGGTGTGCTAGAGGCGGCGGCGGGACTCGCAGGTTGGCTCGCCTGCAGGGCGGACACCGCGAGATCGAGGCTGGAGTGGAGCATGGCCTGCCTTGGGCTATGCCTGTGCTTGAGCTGGTGGACAGGAGCGCTCGGATGGTTCACCGCACGGATGCCGAGCGCCACCGAGGCCGAGGAGAGCGAGGAGGTGCGGGCGCTGCGGGCCGAGCTGGAGGCCCTCCGCCTGACGGTCCACGGGACGGGGCCCACCGCCGACGACTACGGCTGGGCTGCACCCGACGGGCCACCGCCCCCAGGGATCCCATCCCCAGGCGCGATGGGGCCCACGGCGGGGGGCGCGCCCAGCGGCTGCGCCCCCGCGCCCGCGGGTGCCGCCTCCTTTGGCGACCTAGGCGGCGTGGGCGGACGGCACAGCCGCCCCGCCGACGGTTGGGGGAGGGCCCGTGGGGCCCGCGAGCTACGCCCCGGCGGGCCCCCGTGGCGGGCCAGCGCATTGCACGTGAAGGGGCTGCTGACGGGCTACATGGCTGCGCAGCGGACCGACACCCAGTGGGCCGCCAGATTCTGGGGAGCCGTCGCGCACCTCGAGGACTGCGGCCTGCTGGCTCCCGTGGTCCTGGTGACCTTGGCGGGGTACGGCTACGTCGGGCGCGGGACGATGTCCGCCCCACGGTCGGCCGAGCTGCTGGCGGCCCTGGACGCGCTGACGAGCGGCGGGCCGGCGGGCGGGGGGAGCGGCGGCTTCGCGCCGGTGGCGACGCCCGCCGCGGGCCTGATTGCCGCAGGAGGGGGCAGCCAGGACATGCGGTGGGGAGCGTCGCTCACCCCAGACATGCAGAGGGCGGCGCGGGAGATATATCGTTCAATGCGGGCCGAGGGCAGCAGCGGAGTGCGCGACTGGCTCGCGCTGCGTTTCACAGGGAGCCGCTCCTCCTCGACCTGGACGGACTTGTGGACGTTGGCCACCACCGTCGACTTCCGCCTGCGGACCTGCGCCGACGACGACGAACTGATGCGTGTCCTGGGCACGGACGACCTCATGGAGCTGCCCCTGCGGCGGCTCGCATCGTATATCTACGAGACGCCGAGGGGCGATATGATGGGAGCGGCCCACACGCTGGGAGTACCTCCGCCAGAAGGCCAGACGGACATCGCCCCCACCTGGCTCGCGCAGTCCGCCACCAGCCACAGCAAGCTAGAGCACCAACGTCGAGAGCGCGCAGAGGCCGAGGTCAGACACCGTCACCGAGCCAGCGGAGGCAGTCTTGGGTCTCATGGAGACGGCCGTGGAGGCCGCGGCGGGAAGGGCGGTCGGAAGAGCCACGGCGCCGCTGGCGCCGCGACGGCGCCTGACATCCCCGCCGCGCGCGTCGGCGAGGACCTGCGGCCGACGCGCGCCTCGAGAAGCAGCAGGCGTGGGTGCCGCATGGGCACCCAGGCAGGGACGCACTGAGAGAGACGCTGGAGGTCACGCAGGTCCCCGAGAAGTTCCCGCCCGCGCGCCCGACCCTTCGGCCGAGGGACCTGAGCGCACTGGCTTCTCGCTCGAGACGTCTTCGACATCGGCACCGCTCAAGACTACAGGTTTGGGAGCGGGCCAACCAGTACCTCCGCGGGACCACCTCGATGCACGGAGGAAGCTGTCGGGAACTCGCACGCCGCCCATTCATCAGACCTCCAGGACAGAACACCTGGGCGGCGATGGAGCGCGCGCATCGCGTGGCCCTACGCGAAGCGCAACGCCTGCGTCAGGAGCGCCGAAATTACAATCCGACCGGCGCCCAAGCCTTGCTTGCAGTAGCGGGGCCCGCAGCGGCGACAGAGCACGGCCAGGGCTCGAGGGCAGCTCATGTGCGTCTGGTGTCCGAGGCCGTGGACGGGCCGGCGAGCTGTCGAAAGGTCACGATGCTGGAGGCCCTGGAACCCGAGGGGGCAGTCTTCTATGCCCTGGAGCAGAACGTCATGGCCGACCCCGCTCACCGGAGCCGAGTGAACTCCAAGGGGCTGGAGCAGCAGCACGGGTTCCTTGGAGGCGAGCACAGCGAGTACGTGGAGTATCTGAACCGGCCAGACTTCGCGCAGGGGATGCGCAAGTTCGCATAGGAGAAGGAGGTGGAGGCCGCGGCAGGCCTGACCGCTGCGGCAAAGTAGCCAGGCGACCGGCAGAGGAAGATCCTGCTGACATGCGCCTTCAATGACATGACGAGAGAGGTGCACGAGAGCGAAGAACATGGACAACATGGCGGGGGGGCCCTGGCGCGGCTCCGCGCCCCCGAGGACGCCATCGCAGGGGCGGCGCTGGACGGGCCCAACGCCTTCTCGCACGCGGAGGTGCCGAGCTGGATGTGGCCGCGGCAGGCGGCCCCCCCCGCGATCGCGGCCGACGTCTGGGACCTGCTGAGCCCCGCCCTGCAGCTGGCCGTTGGCCACGGGGGCTGGGTTTACCCGCTCTGGACACGCCTCGTGATCGGGAACGCTCATTCGGTGCACGGGCTGATGAACATAACATGAGAGTGATAGGCATGGCGTTGCATTACCATCTGGACATCGGGCGCTCGGAGGCTTTCGACTCGCTGGAGGAGTGCAAGCTGCGCGCCGGGGGCGAGGACGACGCCTGGACCGACCTTCAAGCTGTTCGTCGAGAGGCGGAGGGACAGGGGAGGGATGAGCGCGTCGGAGTGGTGCGAAGCAGCTCGCGCCGCTCGTGCCCCACCCCGCCAAGCGTTCGCGGCGACGCATCTGTTCTCAGGCCCACGGCGGGAGGGGGGCCTCGAGGGGCACTTGCAGGAGGTCGGCGCCGAGGAGGCCGTGGAGATCCCGGCGCTCTCCCGCGACCTGGGCGCCGACTCTCGGCTGGGCCTCACGAAGAAGGAGACTTTCGACCTGCCGATGGGCCTCGTCGTGGAGGGGCTCGTGGATGCCATCGCGGGGGGGCCACCCTGTGCCACGTGGAGCCGCGCCCGCTTCGCGGCGAGGAGGCGAAGCCTGTGGCCCCGGAGCGCGCCCGCGCACGCGCTGACGGCCCACGAGGAGCAGCGCCTCGACGAGGGGAACGTGGCCACGCTGAATTCCTTCGCCTTCTGCGAGGCCGTGGCCCTGGGAGGGGGGCGCACCCCAAGGATCTAGGGGAGGGGGGGGGGGTACCGTTCCCCTCGGTCTGGGCCACGGAGCTGGAGCGCGCCCTGGAGGAGCGCGCGGCGGCCACTCGGGCCGTCTTCGACCAGTGCACCCTCGGCGCTCCGACCCGGAAGCCAACGTGTCTCGCTGGGAACCTCGGTCACTTGGAGGAGTTCGACGGCCGCCGCTGTCGAGGAGACCACCGCCACGATGTGAACGTTGTGAAGCAGTTCGGAAAATTTGTCTCGGCCCGCCTGGCCACGTATCCAGACAGGCTCTGCCAGGCCATCGCCCGCCCGCTGGTCCAGAACTTCAAGCTCATGCTGACCGAGGGCTCTGGGCCTACTGGACACTTGCGAGCGGAGGTGGCTGTTCGTCGCGTCGGCGACTATTCCTGGAGGTCCACAGGATCCACGCCAAGAGGGCTAGCAGTCCTGAACGAGGCCTCGGCTCAAGGCCGCAACGCGATCTTGAGGAAGCACGACCTGGGAGTCTACCTCCACATCGACGTTGCCCTTTTCTTGTCCAACCTCGGCCCGACGGAGGACCGCCCCGCGCGCGACATAGCCTTACAAAAGTCCGCCGACAGACTGGAGCAGATAGGTTCCCTGGTCAAGGACCGACGCCGGCAGGGGGAGGTCAACAAGATCATCGGCTACGAGCTCGAAGCACGACCTGCCCGACTATGAGTGCCCGCGCGACGGGCCGTCGACTTGCATCCAGCCTTCGAGCACTTGGCGCGTCGCAGGACCGTGGACGTGGAGGCGTTGAGGCCCGTCGTGGGCGTCTGGATCTGGGCCGCGCTACTGGCCCGACACTGGCTGTCGGCGCCGCAGGCGCTGTTCTCCATCATGAACGCCGAGGGCCCCCGCGTCCGCCGCCGGTGGGCTTCGGGCCGCAGGGAGGTTGTTGCCATGATGAGGAGCGTGATGGGCCTGTACTCGGACATGGGCGCGCCCTTCTCCCCGGTCACCCTCGCGACCGACGCCGAGGGGGGCAACAACCACGACTTCGGCGGCCACGGGGCAGTGGGCGCGCTTCTAGGCCAGCAGGCCCAGGAGAGCACGTGGGAGGCTGGCTTGCGGCCTGGCAAGGCCCTCGTCCGCAAGCCCGGCACCGTCGAGAAGGTCGTGAAGCGCGGCGAGGCCAGGACGCTGAAGCCGTTCGTGCCTGTCTCGTCCGTGCCGGGGGACGTGCTGGACCCCGAAATCACGTGGGCCGACTTGCTGGCGGGGCGCAGGAGGCATGCCGACAACATCGCCTTGGGCGAAGCTCGGGCGGCGATCGCCCCGCTGGAACAAGGCGCGCGCCGCTACGGCTCATCGGGCCTAGCTGATGAATCTAGAGGACAGCATGGTGACGGCGTGGGCCTTCGCGAAGGGAAGGTCGTCAGCGGTCGACCTCAACTACATGCTGAGACGCCGCGGAGCTCTCATGGCCGTCACCGACATCAGGCAGCATCTACCGTGGGTGGACACGGAGAGGCAGCCCGCCGACAAGCTCTCACGTTCGAGGCCATGTGGAGCTATCTACACCGAGCCTGGGGCCCCCACGGCCACGACCATTTTGGAACCGCGCCGGGGAGTCCAATCGTGACCTTTCAGAGGCCGTCAGCGGCTGGCACGGACCCACACCTGGAGGGCATGGTCACCGTCAAGACGCTGGCTCACTACAAGAGTGCCGCCGCTCGGCTGGTGTCGTGGTGCCAGCGCAGCATCATGCGAATCCGTGGACACCTGACGAGTGGGACGACACGCTGATCGAACTCAAACATAGTTTGCGAGACGAGTTGGGAAAGGCGGAGTTCATTGCGACGGCGAGCGCCGTCGAGTTCCGCTTCACCCGCCTGAAGGGCATGCTGGCCTGCTCGCATGCTGCCATCCGCGGCTGGAGTATCGTGTTTCCCGTCCGACGGACGGTGCCCATGACGTCGCGGCCGAGCAAGTGGATAGCAGCGCAGATGGCCAGCAGGAGCCGCCCTCGCCTGGGAGCAGGCGTGGCGCTGCAGGCCCACATAGGCCTGCGGCCGTCCGAGATGCTCAGCCTGACTACCGACGACTTGACCTTCCCCGAGGACGGAGGCTACCACCAGGACGAGGGCGCGCTAGTGATCGGGCTTGGCCTCAAGACAGGGACCACGGCCCAGCGCGCTCAAGCAGCATCGCTTCGCTTCCCAAAAGATGCCGTCTTCATCCATCTGCTCCGTCACCTGAGGAGCATCACTCCGCCAGGTCACCGTCTCTTCCCGTACCCCTTGGAGGTCTACCGCAGGGAGCTGGCAGAGATCCAGAGGGGCTTCGGCATAGACGCCAGGTGGACCCCGCACAGCCCCAGAGCAGGATATGCTTCGGAGGCCTCAGCTTTGGGCGTACCCTTCGAGGTGATCGGAGAGACGGTCCGATGGAGAATGGATTCCAGTTTGCGCATCTACATTGACGTAGTCTCGGCGGCTCAAATCAGCACGGCCCTACACCTCAAGGGCTTCGAGGCAGCACTGGCGTGGGCGACCCAGCATTGGGCCTGGTACATCGCGCAGTCTCTGGCCGGCCATGGCGCCCAAGGGGCCCAAGAAGCAGGCCGATGGGACGGAGACGCCAAGTAGACGGGTGTCCTCACCGGCGGCCAGTTCGAAGGCATCAATAAGAACGCCTGGATCGTGGTCAGTTGCGTCGCCTGCCTCGATTTCGTCGCCAGCTCCGAGCCTGCCAGGACAGGGGTGCACGCCGATCCCTGCCCCAGTCCATGGTGGAGCGCCGCTCGCTACCCCGCTCACGACGGCCTTCGTCGCGGCGGCCACAGTCGAGCCCGCCGCGGCGGCGGGGCCAGGGCCAGGGGCAGCTCAGGCCCCCGCGCGGCTTCCCCGTCGCGGGGCCTGACAGTGGATCAATTGTTCCACCGGGATCCGCAGCGGGACCGCCAAAAAGCCTGGCGGCGGCCGTCGCCGTGCTGGCGGCGCTCCCCGCCGCGGTCTTCCCCGCCACGGCCCGTGAAGCGGAGACCATCACGAACCTCGTCGAGGGCGTGGGCGGGGCGGCGAAGCGGGTCCTGGCATCGGGCGCGAATGTCACGGACTCGGCGGCCCGCTTCGCGGGGGCCAGCACGGACGGCACGCTGACGCCAGGGGGGGCCGCACGGAAGGGCCACGACCTCCTGAACGTCACAGTGGCGAGGCGGGCAGGGAGACTCTTCCTGGACGCCCAGGGGGACGCCCCCGCCCTGCTGAGGAGCGGGGCGGGGTCGCAGATTCCACAGATGCCGCTGGAGTGGGTCGAGGAACTCATCAAAGCCGGCAATATTGTCGCCCCATGCCGCCCGCCCGCCGACCACTACTTGCACCGTTTTGCGCCGGGCGGGCTCGACGCGCACGGCCTCGATGGGCTTCCATGCGCGCTACCTACGCACAGGCCACATCGCGATGGCATGGGCGACCTCGAATATCACCTTCCAGGCCCGCTGGGCCAATCCGTGCTGGGAGCTCCTGGGCTATGACTTCGGCCCGATGACTGACGAGATTGGCGCCACTCTCTCCCGCGCGCTGGCGGGGGCCAGCCCAGCTCCCAATCTCGACCTGAGTGTTGACGAGATCGAGGACGCTCCAGGCATGCCGTCGGCGACCTGGCCATTCTGGGCGCGCTACATCGTTCGCTACGGGAGGAAGCTCCTCAACCTCATCAAAGATCGCTGGGCGGAGGCGGGCTCGCGGGAGGGGGCCCTTACAGCGCCGACGCCAGCGCGGCCGCCGACGCCTCCGACGCCCTCCCCGCGACGCCCGCGGCCTGCGAGATGCGGGATTCAGAGTTGTCGTTGACGGCGGCGGCGGCTTCAAGACGTCGGTATCCAGATACCTATGTGAGCAAGGTTGAGTTCCCGTGAACATGATGAGCCCTCTGACATTTGCAGTGGAGCTCGTCTTGTATATAGCCTTTCGCTTCGCAATGGCATCGGCGTCTAGGGAAGGTCCAATAGCACTCTATGAAATCATTTAGTGAGCCCTTGAACGAGTGTTTGGTTTAGACAGCAATGCAGCAGGGAGGGAGACGCTCGATGCCGCAATTGAGTTGGCTCGCCCTGCCCGCAAGTTCAGTTCGCTTCCGTCTGTGCGCGCGCTCTCGACCTCAGCTCCCACCCAGGGACTCCGAGGGATTCAGAGTTTTTATTGACGGCGGCGGCGGCTCCCACTTTCGCCGCCGCCGTCGCGAGGCCTGCGCAGACCAAGGCTTCAAGACGTCGGTATCATGATACCTATGTGAACAAGGTTGAGTTCCTGTGAACATGATGAGCCCTATCACATTTGCAGTGGAGCGTGTCTTGTATATAGTCAATCGCTTCGCGATGGCATCGGCGTCTAGGGAGGGGCCAATAGCAAGCTATAGAACTGCATATATGTATGTATGTTGATATGTGTGTATGTAAATGTGTATGTGTATGTATGTGTATGTGCATTTACATGCGTATTTGTGTATGCATTTGTGCGTGTGCATGTATAAGTATGTGTGTATGTGTGTATGCATGCACGTATGTGTGTGTATGTATGTAAACATGTACGGATGCATGTATGTACGTATGCGCAAATATGTGTTTATGTATGTTTGTATGTACGTATGTACGTATCGGGATATATGTGAGTGGCGTCGTCCCGTTTGTTCCGATATATTGACCACAACAGGGGGAGATAGTTGTTTCCATCTCACCCCGGCAATATCGCCGCAGTTATTTGTTGTGCTGCGGTGTAGTGCAACGGTTGTTCTACGTGGGTATACCCATACATTGCGAGGAAGCTTCGGGTCCATGCCACGTTTTGAGACCACACAGTAGGGAAGAACCCAACAAGTTGCCGTTGCCGTGTTGCGCGGCGAGCAACAGCGTTGCATCGACTTGCCGCGGTGTACTGTTGCAGTTTGGTTTCGTAAGTGCCCTCAGAATTTGCGAGGATGCTTAGGGCGCGAGGGGCGAACCCAAGAAGAGCAGCATTCCAAAGGTTGGCTGCGCGTCTGCCGCGCTGCGCGGCGATAACCATTCCTGCAGCCACTTGTATGCCACGCGCGGTGTACTGCCGCGTTTCAATTGCGTGGGTATGCACAGACATTGCGACGAAGCCGCGGGCGCGAGCCACGCGTTGAGAGTACAATATGGGGAACAACCCAACGAGTGCAGCATTCCGAAGATGTCGCGCACTTACCGCGTTGCGCGGCGACATCCCCTCCCCAAAGGGCCACCCGCGACAGTCTCAAGAGATGCCCGCGGCGCCCCCCAGACAACCCAAGAACCCGAAGACGTTACCACGGAGTTGCCGCGCTGCTGGGGCGTCGGAAGCCCCGTCTTTCCAGCTCCAGTTTTTGTCCGCGTTCTTCCTCATCATCCTCCTCCTCCTCCTCCTCCTCCTAATGCTTGTGTTCTTCCTTTTTTCATGTGTGCTCCAGAGGCGGAACACGACGGTGCCGAAAAACAATGCGGCGGCGGCGAGGGAGGACGAGGAGGAGGAGGAGGAGGAGGAGGAGGAGGCGGAGGAGAGGAGGAGGAGGAGGGGAGGACAGGGAGGAGGAGAACGACGACGACGACGACGATATTGAGGTCGCCGCCGCCGCCGCCAGCCGCCGTCTGCCGCCGCCGCCACCGCGCGATCGCTAACGGCGCCTCTTGAGGCCATCTTGGGGCGCTCTTGGGACCGCATTGGGGCCCTCATGGGCCGCTCTTGGGGCCATCGGGGAGCCATCTGGAGGCCTCAGAAGCCCATCGGAAGCGAAAAGGCGAGAAGGCACAAGTCAGCGAATTCCAATGTGTGTTTAAAGAAGTTTGGCTTCTGGCCTCTTGGGGAGGCTATGTTGCCATTTGGATCCATCTTGGAGCCGACTCGAGGCTTCTTATAAAATGTGGTGCGCCAGTTTGAGCGATCGTGTTCCATGGTGGAGGCAATATTGGGATATCCAGAGCCCTTCGGGAGTCATCTTGGGCCATATTGGACGCGGCAACCCGCCGCGTAGCGAGAGATGTGGAAAAGCATACAGTTGAATAAAGGGTTGGGGAAGTCGGCATGCCCAAGAAGGGGAGGATGGAGGCGTAATCGGAGGAGGAGGAGGAGGAGGAGGGGAAGCAGGGGGAGAGACAGGAGGAGGGAGGAGGAAGAGGAGCAAGCGGATGAGGAAGAGAGGGCAGAGGAGGAGGAGGAGGAGGAGGAGGAGGAGGAGGAAGAGGAGAACGAGGAGGAGCAGGGCGAGCAGGAAGGCTTGCCAGAGGTCTCTTGGCTGCCTCTCGGAGTCGCTTCGGATGTCTCCCGGGGTCTTGGAGAACTCTTAGGGGCGTCTACCGGGCGTCCAGGGGCCTCCTGGAGAGTAAAGGGTGTTTCGGGGCGGGGGCGGGTGGTTTCTTGGGGGTCTTGTGGGAGCCTCCTGGGGACCTATTGGGGGCCTTTTGAGGCCTCGTGGGCGCCTCTCGGGGCGCTCCTGCGGGACTCTTGGGAGCCTCGGGGGCCATCTTGGGGCCATCTTGGGAGGGGTTCGACCAGAGACGGGTGGCTACGTATTTACTTGTGTTTTCGCGTGGGCCATCTTGGAAGCCCCAACGACTCGCGAACCCCCCGTCCAGGTCCAGGGGGAGGGGGGAGGGCAAGCTAGGCGCGCTCGCGTCATATCTGACGTCCTATCCCTCCCTCCCATCCCTTACAATGGCGTAGATGTCCTCTCTATTCGCACAATCGGATGTCGTAGCATGGCATAGCATTACAAGACATAGCATGGTGTTGAAGACTCACGCGTAGCATGACATAGCATGGCATGGCGACGCCAAAAAGTGGGGGGGGGCTTCTGCGGTCCAAAAATCAGCGAATCGACACCGAATGTGGAATAATTTCCGATTGTTTCTTCGGGAGGCAATGTTTTGATGTTGTGGCCTATTTGGAAGAACCGAAAATCATGCCGTGGCATGGCACTGGAAATTATGACGCCAGCGCTGCAGCGGGAGCACGATTCGGAACGAGCGGAAGCGCGGAAATGAGGCCAGTGTCACGGGAGCACGATTCGGAACGAGCGGTAGCCCGAAAATGAGGCCAGCGCTTCAGCAAGAGCAGCCCTTTTGCTTGAACAAGAAACCAAGCGCGGAAGCGCGGAAATGAGGACGCGCAGCTTGACATAGCATGGCGTGGCGACGCCTCAAAGTTGGCCAAAAAAATCAACGAATCGACATCGAATGTGGAATCACTTCCGATGGGTTTTTCGGGTGGCATTTTCTAGATGTTGGGGCCTATAATAATAGATTAAGAAGGACCGAAAAGCATGCCGTGGCATGGCGCTGGAAATAATGATGCCAGCGCTAGAGCGGGTGCACGATTTGAAAATGGAGCCAGCGCTTCAGCGAGAGCAGCATTTTGAAGCAAAAAAAAAAAAACCAAGCGAAAACCCAAATCCCGGGAATCCTGTAAGAAAAAACAGTACGCGGAGGCGGCCCGGCCACTTCCCGGACGCCACCAGGGGAGAGAGGAGAGTAATATTCAAATTGCTTCAATTGTCAAGGGGTAAACCCTTCCCTGAAAATGGACGAAGGGCATTGGAAGAGGAAGCCCCCTAAACCACTCACGTGCTAAAAGAGCTGTTGCGATTTGGTAGGGCATCAGCTAGTGCTGATTACGATCTGCCGTTTATACGCGACGCTTGTTCTCCAACCGATTCAGCAATTCTTAGTGGATCGGAGCGAATACAATCTGGATCATTCACGAATATGATTACCATTGTGAGTTGTATGATCATCGGAGTGGAAGTTGTGCTCAGGTCGAATGGGGACGACACGGCTGCCGCATCTTGATTGGACCCTCCATTGATGTGTGCTTCATGTTTCTCTGCAAATGGTTGCCGACGGTTGCCGACGGCATGGGAACGCTTCTGAAGTATTGGTTCCGCTTCGATGTTGTTTGTTTTGACAATGGCGTCTTGAATTCTTGAGCAACTTATATTTCTCAGTTCCTCGGATCCGTTGAACGGCCAGGATATTCCGGACGATGGCCATGGTTGGTCAGTAAACTATGTAATTTATGCGTGCGAGTGAGGTCATTGAAAACAGTGTGACAATTTGAATGCATGCATAGGGATAGTATATATTCTTTATATATATATATATATATAACATGTGTCACATATGCACATATACGTATGTGTGTATCTACGTGTCTGTCCCTTTCCACCCATAAAATGACAAGGAAAACCCGTACATCTGTGACCCCCCCACCTCCCGATGTACGCTCCAGGCCCACCCTCGTGGCCGAGCAGGCCCCCGCGGGCGCGCCAAGACAGCCCACCAGTGCCTTCAGACGGCCCTCATCAGCATTTCGAGAGGGTAAAAAGACGGGCCGATGGCCCAAGAGGGCCCAACATAGCGACCCAAGACGTCCAAATCAACTTTCAGCGGGCCCAAGATGCCTCCGAGACGCCCCGAGAGCCTGCCCCAGAGAGAGCCCCGAGTGCCAGACTCCATGCGTTGTACGACCGGCGAGGTGTTCACGTGCGCGCGTGTCCGGCTCTGGCGCGCTCCCAGGCGGCCCCGGACTCGCCCAAGCTCGCCCGGCGGCGGCCCAGGAAGCTTCCAAAACGGTTCGAAAACGGCTCCAGGGGCCAAGACGGCCCGCGGAGCCGCCAAAACGGCCCGCGAGGCCCT